TTCTGACTGGGGATAATCGTTTCCCCTAGTGTAATCTCCATTAGGCCTGATAGTACAAGGGAACATGCAAGGAGCGTACGGAATGTACCTAACCTTGGGATTTCGGATAGACTTCAGATGCTCTCAAGCGGATGTCGCGGCCAGAAGTCCAGCCGGGTTTTATTAAGCCCTAAACCCTATAAACCCTGTGAAGCCTGTACGCCCTATAAACCTTAATTATGCCCGAACACTGTAGTCATAGCAGTGGCCTATTATTAACCCCAAATCCACTTGGGGGGGGGGGGGGGGGGGGGGTGGGTGGGGACCCAATGAACCCTACAAATCGGGTCACTACTATCGTCCCTACAAAGGCATATGAACAATTAACCCCTTTAGGGTTCATTTGGTCCCCGCTTCAATGTTCATGGGTAATCATAAGTGGGGTACAAGTAGGGTAACCATGCTTACAACTGGTTGTAAGCCCTAAACCCTAAACCCTCAACCCAAACCTTCAACCATAAACCCTAAACCTTATTTCGGGTAGCTTATTAAGGGTAATATGGGGATTATTATTTTCCTTCTTTTGGGGTTCTTAAGCAAACAGTAGTAAGTTGAAGCAACTGTCCGATGCAACTTTGCCTTGCGCGCAGGCGAGCCCGTACCCAGGCCAGGATGGGCTAAGGGTTTAGGGTTTAGGGTTCAGATTCATTGTTTAGGGTTTGGGGTTTCGTGTTCAGATTCAGGGTTTAGGGTTCAGTTCGGTGCTTAGGGCGTTCAACAAAATCTGCCAGTTTCGGACCAGAGCTGCGCTCTGGCTGTCCTCTTGAGCATCTTGAGGGCTTTGTTTCAAGATCGTGTTTCCTGGCAGTCGGCACGAACTACACCCTAACCCTAAACCCTAAGCCCTAAACCCTAAACCTTAAACCCTAAACCCTAAACCCTCGCTCTGGCCATGCCCAAGAGCCATGCAGACACTATGGCTGCTTCCGGTAGTTGTGTAAGGTTCGCAGAACACAGAAGGCACGATGTGTTGTGAAACCTTGGCTTGCGTGCTGTGTAAAGATTACAGAAGAGTGACGCCATGATACACACAAAGCATCGCATCGAAGACTGGGGTACGATTTGGCGTGTGTGTTTAAAGATCACAGAAGATTGTGGGGGGGGGGGGGGGGGGGAGGTACGATTTGTTACGAGCCCTGGTGTTGTGATAGGATCACAGAAGACAGGGGGTACGATTTGTTACAAACCCTGGCGTGTGGGGGGGGGGGGGGGGGGGGAAGATCCCCATCTTGCAGCACCTCACCTCATACAGAAACAGCAACCCACGCGGGGAAAAGGGTAGCTCAGACCAAGCCCTGATAGTAAATGACAGCCCATGCGTGCAAAATTAGGCGGGTTTAGGGTTTAAGGTTTAGGGTTCAGGCAGGCAGTGCAGCAGTCCTAGCCGTAAAAAGGGTTTAGGGTTCTAGCTTACAGTACTGAAAGCACAAGATTCTTGACTACAACGCGCTCTGATTCCCCATCATCTGAAGCCTGCCCTTTTCACATAAACTACTCTAAGTCCTTGATGACCAAATGAAACTTAGAATTGGGGGCCGTCTACTCTATACTACGATAATCCCTTTTGAGGTATACCTTCTACAGAGAGCGAGAGACGCTAGAGAAAGGCCGCCATGGAGCCGGGACACGAGGTCTTGTTGGGGCCGTCCGTTCCGTCCGTGCCGTCGTCCTTGCGAAGAGCGCCGCGGCTCCCGGCCTCGGCACCTCCGCGGCGGCGCTTCCACACCGCCCACGGCGCTCCCCTGCTGCTCCGCTTTGGTGGCGGAGTCTGGGCGGCATCCGTCTTGAAGAGGTGCTTGCTTGGAAGACGAGCCTCCATCAGCACCATTCGCAAGAGAGAGGAGAAGCGTGAACGGCGGCGCCGCTCCAGGACCTGCAGGCCGAACCTGAGCCCGACGAGGAAGAGGCGGTGCCCAGCGGCCGGGCCCCAGTCTTCCCGAGCGCGGACTCCACACAAGCCGGCCGCAGCGGTCAGATCGTCCCCGAGCATCCCCGAGCCATTGGACTGGAACAATCCGGGTGTCAACGTCTTGGAGAAGGCCCGTTTGGCTGCAGAGGATTGGGGCATTTGGGATGAAGCCGGCTGGTCGGACCCTGCCACAAGTTCCGGGTCTTCCGAGGGTCTCCCGCTGCCGAGTTTCTTCCGGAAGAGGAGGGCCGAGGCCGAGGCACCGGAGGCCATCAAGGAGTTCATTGCTTTGCATCAGCTGGGGAAGCTGAAGCTCCCAAGGTTGAAGCGTGAGCTGCACCGCCCGGCGATCTTCGCGGGCTCGGATCCCGCGCATGACGGCCGGAAAGGTTCCGTGGACGATGGGAGAGGCGACACCTTGGGGCGCATGGCCATCGCCGTGCACAAGGGCTTCCTGCGGCAGCGCGCCCGGTGCCACCCGAGCCAGACCATCCCCCCGGAGCGCCCGGAGGTGGCCTTCATCGGCGCATCCAACGTGGGCAAGTCCTCGCTGCTGAACGCTCTGACTCGGACTCAGAAGCTGGCGCCTGCCAAGGATGATCCCGGGGTCACCCGGTCGATTGACTGGTACAAGTGCAGCCGATTGCCCGTGGATGTTATCGACATGCCCGGCTACGGCTAAGGGGGCGGAGTTCGGGCCCTCGTGACCGACTTCCTCGTCACCCGAAAGTCCCTGCGGGTCCTCTACTGCCTGGTGGATGCCAGGACTGGGATCCGGCCGTCGGACTGGCGCTTCTACGCGTCGCTGGGGAACCGGGGGCCTGAGAAGGTCTTCATCCTGACGAAGTGCGACATGGTGGTTCCGAAGATGTTGGCCAAAGTGGCAACGTTGGTTCTGGAGGACATCAAAAGCATCCCCCGGTCGAGCCAGCGCCTCCTCATGGTTTCTGCGCGGCTGGGCCAGGGGCTCCACGACCTCCGCTGCCACCTCTGCTCCAGGGCCGTGACCTTGGTGCGGGAAGTGCGCCGCCGGCAAGCCCTGAGAGAGGAGGAATCCGCGGAATCCGCGGAATCCTTGCAAAGCTAAGAGGAGCCTAAAGGAGCCCAACACGCTGAAGAAGAGGAGGTGCTTAAGCTGCTTACCTCGCCTTTGAGGTATATTGTACCCTAATCCCTTTGAGGGCTCGTTTCGTCCCCACGATAAAACCTACAACCCGACCGCCCCGAAACTCATAGGGTTCATGTTTTTTTTTAAGCTGAGGGCCCCTGTTGCACCCTAAGCTTGAGGTTTTTGTGAGGTCTGAGGTCGAGGGGCTAAGGGCCTTGAAGTTTCGGGTGGAAATTGGGTTTAGTCTTTAGGGATTCGGGTTTAGGGTTTAGGGGGGCCGGTTGAGGGTTGAGGGTTTAGGTGTAGGGTTCATCGGGTTTGAGGCTTGGCGTTTGGGGTTTGGGGTTTAGGGCTAGGTTTTAGGCACCCCGGAAACCCTAAACCCCAAGCCTAAACCCCAGACCCTAAACCCCAAACCCTAAACCCCAAACCCCTAACTTTAAACCCCAAACCCCTAAACCCCAAACCCCCAAACCCTAAACCCCAAACCCCAACTCCCTAAACCCTATAAACCCTAAACCCCAAACCCGAAACCTTAAATCCAAACCCTAAACCCCAAACCCGACACCCAAAAGCCAAACCCTAAACCCCAAACCCCAAACCCCAAACCCCATGAAGCGCTTTTTGAGAGGCGGCCATTGGAAGGGACCTCGGGGTATCCCCAGGAAGGACTCCGCGCGCTCCAGGGGACCGGTGTCGGGCTGCGGGTTTCAGGTTTAGGGTTTGGTTTAGGGCTTGGGGTTTAGGGTTTAGGCAGCCGCATAGGGGTGTTTAGGGTTTAGGGTCTTGGGGGGTTTTTCCTAAAGCCTCAAAACCTAAATACCCTGCAAAGCCTGCACCCTAACCGGCCGAGCACGTATGAGCTTTCACAAGGTGCAATGTTCAGAGTGCAACCCTCAAGCCGGCAAAGCCTGAAGCCCCCAATGTCTCGTCGGAGTGGAGGGACAGTAGGGCTCGCGACTTCTCAGTGTCTGCAGGATGGCGATTAGGATAAGTTAAGCACGTAGAGATGTAGGGTCCTAGTCATTTGTTTTCTGTGAAACGTTGAACACATCCCAAGACCGGAAAACCCTGTGACCCCTGCAACTGAAGCGGTCGGAAAAGTTGGTAGAGCTGCACGGCGTTTAGGCAGCAGAAGATCAATCACAAAAGTGCAAAGGATCCCAAATTTAAAGCAACAAGGCAGTTTTATGGCTGATGCAAGCCCTCCGACATACAAGCCAGCCATCCAGCTATCCTGTTCTCTGCATTGGCTCTGCGCCTTCGTCTCTGTCTTGATCTCTCTTTCGACTTGCTTTGCTTCTGCTTTGCAATCTTGTTTTTCGTTTATCTTTCTCTCTTCCTCTCTCTCTCTCTCTCTCTTCACCCCTTCCGCCCCCTGGCCCGCTTTCCCACAACATGATGGCGAGCTGCTGTCGATGGGCGCTTGCTTTTCAGCTCAAGCTGAAAGTTAGCCACGGGCCACGGGTTTCCTCATAGCTACGGCTGCTCGGCTGGCACGTGTTTTGTGGTTCTGGGGAGCTCCGGCTTCTACGGATGTTTATGTATGCCCATGGCCAGTTTTCTCTAGACTCTAGTCTAGACCTAGGAAGTATGTTTAACAACCCTGAACCCTCCTTGTCTCTTGACTCTTTCCTCAAGACACCTTCCCCCCGCCCATCCCACCCACCCACCACCCTCCTGAAACGCTTAATTAACGTATTAAGCCGAAGCCCTCACAACCTTTGAGCCTTAAGACCTTGCTGTAAGCCCCAGTGCGCTAAGACCCCTACACCTGGAACCCCACGTCCAAGTCAAGCCCCTTAACAGCAAAAACTTGGGAGGCTCCCTCTTATAATACGAACAGTCCTTACATGGGATTATAGTAGGGGGTATTATAGAATCCCTCTTAAGGACTGTTCGTATAAGGGGGGAACGTGCCAACCACAAACCCTTTAGGTGAACATGTTCTTTGCGTTGGTGCTCCTGTCGCTTGGGCAGCTGGGTACCGCGCTTCCTGGAGGTACTTCTGCACGGGGGTTCTGAGGGTTTTGGGGTAGGGGTTAGGGTTTAGGGTTTGGGGTGGTTTGCGGTTTGTGAGGGCTTTAGAGTTGAGAGTCTGAGAGGGTGGGATTGAAAGTCTCAGGTTTTTGGAGGTTCTGATGCCTGCAGCAAGTATCGTTGATGCAGGGTCTACATAGCCATTCATAAAGCTCCTGTGACTCGGCATGATCTTCTGAGAAGGGTAAGGCTGAGCGCACCTTATACGGCACAGGGACCCGTAGAAGCCCGAACCCTTTAGGCCGGAATGCCGCGCAGGCGCTAAAATCACTGCTCTCGCGTGCTCACTCCCCTCCCCCCAGCCTCGCCCAAACACCACAGCTCTGCCATCTGCTTTCTGGAATATGTATACAGATACATGTGCCCGCGCTGAGGGACGGAGAGAGATGCAGGGAGAGAGGGAGAGAGAGCCTTGTCACTTGTTAGAAGGACCCTAGTAAAAACAAGCCAGACGGGGAAGGGCTCCAAATCAGCAAGTCATACAGAGTGAGCATAGGTTGGAAGGGGTGCAGAAGACTTGGGCACGCCCGACACGGGGTGACAGACGGACAGAGAGAGCGAGGCAGGGAGAAATACATGCAAATGCTTGTTTCTTTGTATATGCCCATAAGTATATGCACATACACATAAAAGAATGTATATATACACAATATATATATATATATATGTATATATATACTATTTGTTTCTACTTATTTATTTTGTATATCTACATTATGTTTCGACTCTCCAAGGTATTCCTGTGGTGCCGATCAAGGGAGTCCAGGGCCCCGTGGATTTCCCGCTGTTGGGGATCGGGACCTGGCAGTACAACAACACCGTGGCCAAGGATCCGAAGAAGGGTTTAGGGTTTAGGGTCTAGGGCTAAGGGTTTAGGGTCTAGGGTTCAGTTTAGGGTTGTCTGTTCCCAAAGGGCTCAGGATGTAGGGTTTTGGGTTGAGTCCTGAATCTTGAAAGCCGCTTGTAGCCCACCTAAAGGCTTCCTCGGTTCTGTGGTGCCAGTGTCGTAGCTCTTCTGCGTGGTGCAGCTGGCAACTTGCCGTTGACTCTGTTCGGCTCAGACCTCTAGAGTTGTCTGGCAGCCGTTGCCGTTGCGAGTTCACGACCCGCAGTTCCGAGCTGGCTTTCAGCAGAATATGGCAGTGGTCGTAGCCGAATTGCCAGTCAAGCAGCGCCGCAGCGTGGTATTCGCCGAGGAGCCAAGTAGTCCCCCTCCCTCGAGCATACTCTCAGAGCAGGCGCGCCTTCAGCGCATGATGCAAAGACATGAGATGTCTGTCAGCGCGACCAGGCAACAGAATTTGGAGACCATCGTGCCCTTCGCCAGGGACTGCCAGAAGAGGCTGGACAGCTTGCATGGGTGGGAGAGTCACGGCATCCACCTCAAGCAGCAAGAGGCCACAGAAGCAATGAAGGTGGTGGAGCAGTTTGTGCTGGCAACCAGCAACAGCCAGTTTCCAGTAACCGTTCTCGATGGTGTCCTCCATGAGGACATGTGCCGTGCCTTCATCGATGTTCACGAGAAGGTGGGGGTTCATGGCAATAGGGGAGACCTCCACATGGTAGGATTTCCTATAATAAGAATTATCATTTTTCTAACTATCATTATAAATTTTCATTATAACAAGGACTGCAATAAGGTACCCCCTAATTTCGCAAACCTTCCAAGGTGGGCTTTGCCAGGCCTCCCTCACTGCTGGAGCACTTGGTGGAAACATCGATGGAAGATTTCGAAGACGGGGAAGAAGAGGATCTCCTAGTGACTGGGTAACGCAGTGGTGCCCTTTTCCCTTTTTTTGGGGGTCAAGGTTCCCTTATACACAGTAACCAACCCCCCAAAAAAGGGTGCCCTTATGATAATATGGCTGCTGGGCTACCAAGGTGAAGCTGGCCTACGAACAAGCCAAGAACACGTCTGAGCTGGTCCAGATCGAGTCCTCAGACTTTGCAGACTACCTCTGGGAGAAGCTCGAGCACTACCTTCCGGAGCGCCACCAGAACGACCGAGGCTTCGCCACCGGCGTCTATGAAAAATGTGGCGTCATCCCGGTCTTTCGGTTCATGAGATACCAGAAGGGCCAGGGCTTCAAGGCTCACAGGGATCCTTCACGCTCCTATGTGGAGAACCCTGTGAAGTCAAGCGCCTCAACACACGGCGAGCCAGGGATCTACAAGTCCTTCTTCACCATCGCCTTGTACTTAAACGATCCGGCCGTGTTTGAGGGCGGCAAGCTCAATTTTGTCAAGGTTCAAGTCGATCAAAGTGGCTCAAAGGAGTACGAGTCACAAGCCAGTGTCTGTCCGGCCGTGGGCCGCTGCGCTCTCTTTGCGCACGACGAGTTGCACGAAGGGGGGGGAGTGCAATCTGGAACCAAGTACATGTGCCAGTGTGATGTCCTGTACAAATGGGTAGAGCCCCTGCCTTGAGAAAAGTGTCTGAGGTTGCTTACAAGGAGGGGCCCCCTAGTTGTAATAAGGATCCTAAGTTAGGTTATACGTCCCTTAACTACAGTCAGTATAGTAAGGGGGCCCCTCCTTGTACATGGTCCTACAGAGACCCTGCCGAAAGCCGCCTGCATGTACCCACCCCTCGCCCGCCCTGATCTTCGAACCACCTTGCTGTAGCCCATGAGACTTCATACATATATATATATATATATATACACATATTATATATATATATATATATACATATAGATGAAGATTCACCACTATTACCGGCATCATTCCTCTTAAGTTCCCCAGGGTCTCTTTTGGGAGGGGTTAAGAAGCCCGAAGGCCCAGATTGGACCCTTCTGCCCTGAGCCTCCGGCCATGCAGGGCCGGGACTGCTTTCCGGCAGCTGGGTCTAGAATGGAGCCCTCAAGGGTTTAGGGTTTAGGGTTTAGGGTTTAGGGTTTAGGGTTTAGGGTTTAGGGTTAGGGTTTAGGGTTTAGGGTTTAGGGTGCTAGTTGGGCTCCTATGATTCAACCGGCGGGGGGTGGGGACGAATTCGGGACTTTGAAGGCAGGGCCCCTTGACTGGTTGGGTCTTGGGCCTTGCTGGAAGCCCTCGTTGCCTGAGATGTCGGGTGGGGGAGTTTGGAGGGTTTCGAGTCTCGGCCTTGTACGTACCCATGCAGCCTGGCCTAAATAGATGGAGCTTAGAATCTTCAAGACCCGGGTATGACTCTTTGCCACCATTCTGGGCCGAGGGGCTTCGAGGTACAATTCAGTGTCCAACTACTGCTGAGTTGCTTAAGAACCCCCCCCCAAAAAAAAGCAACTAACAATCATCACTATCTTACCCTTATAACTTATAAGGAAGAATATTATTTTCATTTTTATTGGGGGGGGGGTTCTTCAGGAATTGGTAGACTACTGCTTGAGCTAGAGTTGCTCGGGAAAGGGGCGCCTTGGTCGGAGCCTTGGCTGTACAGAGTCCCAGAGAGCCTTCAAAAGACCGTGGCAATGCGTGCATTGGCCCTCCACGCCCTCGGTAATTTTAGGGTTCAGGGTTTAGGGTTTGGGGTTTAGGGTTTAGGGTTTAGGGTTGCAGTGTGTTGCAGATGTGTACTTCGTAGTGGGCAATTTGATCTGTCTCTGCAACCATATGCGAACTGATACTGCTGCAGTGGCTTTAGTAAGGGCCCCCCCCCCCCCCCCCACGGAACAAATTTAGGGGGAGGGGAGGACCCTGAAACCTTCACCGCCAAAAGGCTTGAAGCTGTCTAGCCTTCCAGGTCTGAAGCCACGGCCCATAACACCTGAAGCCTTTAGGCCCTAAGGCCAGAAGTTTTCCTGCAACAAAAACTTGTGATTATAGCGAGTACCCCAAACAAACCTTACTAAAGCGATGGGGCCTCATGCCGTAATGAAATCCAAAAAGGTTTTGAGTGGAACTGGGCGGGCTTACAAACCCTAAACCCTTAACCCTAAACAGAAACCTTTATCACAGACCCTTACAAACACATTCCCCAGAAACAACTTGTGATTATAGCGGGTGACCCGAACAAAATGAGTTCGCAGAGTAACCTTGGACAACTTGCGATTGTAGACCCTACTTGGAGGTTCATGGTACTCAATAACTCAATTACAACTGTACTTATGACCCAATGATAACCACATTGGGGCACTTGAGGGGCGTAAAAGTGGGTCATACGTGCAGTCATAATTGGGTTCCTAAGTGCCATGAACCTCCAAGTAGCTTTTCAAAAGTTTCAACGTGAATGGGGATCTTATTGCAGGACACGGTGATCTCTGCCTTTTCTTTGGGATACCGGCACGTGGACACTGCCGCCATCTATCAGAACCAGAAAGGCGTCGGCGCAGCAACTTGCTGGAACAGGGGGGGGGGAGGGGGGGGGGGGCGGAAGGCAAACCTATGTGAACTGGTGGGTTTTTTGCTTTCATGGGCTGCCTCCCCAGCTCGAGGTAATGAAAAGGGCCCTTTTGGTTTGCTTCGGGGCTTGGGGGGCTATGTCTTGAGCCCTTCAACCCTAACTCACTCTGGTGCTTCAGTGGGTTTTGAGAACAAGGCACAATTCCAGGGTGTCTTCATTTCCCTGCCCTGTACACATCGGTTCGGCCCCCCCCCCCCCCCCCCATACAGGACCTACTACAATTATAGCAGGGCCCTACCTTTAGCCGAGGAAGCCACTAGTACCCTAAACTCCAAACCCTAAACCCCAACCCCCAAACCCTGAACCCGAAACCCTACATACACGAACAACAACCCTAAACCCTAAACCCTATGCAATGGCGAGCATGAGGTCAGACACCAGCATGACCTGCTCTATAGTGTTTCAAATATACGGGTGCCAGGTCACACACTGCTTAATAGTGGTCTGAAGGACCTGGCCAGAGGACCCACGTGTGCAGTACTTGTGTGCCTACGTGTGTAGGTTGGTATGGCCTTACTAATTTCTAATGAACGCTCGGGGGAGGTGGGAGATTGGGGGATCTCGGGGCCCTTTTTGCGAACCATGTCAAGACGAATCACGATTGTTCCCTGCGGCGTGATCCCAGTGGGGGTCCTCTAGGAGGGTGGCAAAAACAAAAAACACACACACACACACACAGACCCTAAACCCCACACCCTAAACCCTCAACCCTACATACACGAATTTTCACTGGCCACAGCAAAGGCCTTGGCTGAGATGAAGATGGAGCGGGACGAGTTCTTTGTCACATCAAAGATTCCAGGAGCCTCTTCCCTCACTCCAGAAGGGTTTAGGGTTTAGGGTAGGGTTGTTCTCCAGAAGGGTTTAGGGGTTGGGGGGGGGTTTAGGGGGTTAGGGGTTTAGGGCCTTTAGTTTCACGTGCCCGGCAGTCGTTGCGAGGCCTGGATGCAAGGTTTTTTTTTTTTTTTTTGGGGGGGGGGGGTGAAGATGTACAACAGAGATCAGCGGTGTTTCACTGCTCAAGCCTTTACCCCGGCAACCCTTTGGTGTCTGTCACCCTGAACCCTGAACCCTGAACCCTAAACCCTAAACCCTAAACCCAAGCTACCGGCAGGCCTTGCTTCGTGCCTCCCGCCAGCCAAGCTGGTTTCAAGCCCATGTTCAACACACCGGGGGCATGCTCTCGAATTTATAAGGCTTGCTTAGGGTTTTAGGGCTTAGGGTTTTAGGGCTTAGGGTTTAGGGCTTAGGGTTTAGGGTTTAGGGTTTAGGGCCCATACCCAAGCACTCTCCGCACAGAGGAGGTCTCAACGCCTCCGCCACAGCCGCCGCCGCTGATGCCTGCCTCGAGGAGCTGGGCTTGTGCCTTGGCGAACTTGGTGAGCTAGGGTTTAGGGTTTAGGTTTTAGGGCTTAGGGTGAGCTTAACTTACTTGGAGGTTCATGGTACTTAATAACCCCAATGATAACTGTACTTATCACCCACTGATCACCACAAATTGGCACCTAAGCGGCGTATAAGTGCGGTTAAAGTTATAAGTGGGGTCGTGCATCTCCAAGTAGGGAAGGTGGCTGAAGCATGGTTCTTTCTTCCCCTCCATAACTGCTTCTGGCTGTTCCCGGGTCTCCATGTCCATCACAGAAGCGGCGGACGAGGGATGTCCTTGGAGGTTTTGAAGGGATCAAGGTGAAGAGCCTTCAAGAAAGCATGGTGCAACATTGTGTTCACCCAAACCAGCAAATCGTAATGTTGGGCTCTGAAGTGGTCTGTACACAGCATTCCTTCTTCAGTTGTCCCGTGGAGCTTGGCTAGACGGGTGGCAAAACAACCCTAAACCTGCAGGAAATTCGTGGATCTGATGCTGATCCATTTCCCCGCGGACTTCGGCAAGAATGGCTCGGCGAAGGCCCCCCCTGTGGCCCACCACCCTCAGGTCATCGCCATTCAGCTTTCGCACCGGTTTAGGGTTTAGGGTTTATAGGGGTTAGGGTTTAGGGTTTAGGGCTTTCGCACCGGTTTTGGGTTAAGTCTTCGGATTCAGTTTAGGGTTCCGGGCATTTCTTGAGTGGCTATATCTCCCTTACCCCTTACTTCCTTATTCCTTGCCGGGCTTGGGAACCCTCGACACAAGAACCTAAACCTTGCACATCCTAAACCCTACTTGGAGGCTAACAGTACTTGCAACCCAATGATTATAACTAATACAACCCACATATAGAAGCCCCCTAAGCGCCCAAACATGGTTATAATTGGGTTGCAAGTGCAGTGATAAGTGGGTTCTTAAGTACCATGAACCTTCCTAAACCCTATAAACCCTAAACCTTAAACCTTAATTAAACCCTAAACCCTACCGGACACCACACCAGGAGCGCCAGACAGAGTGGACGGCCTTGGAGAATTGGGCCAAGTCGGGCAAGGCGGCGGGTTTAGGTTCAGGGTTTTGTTGTTGGACCCGTTTTGGTGCCTTCTCCGCCCCCTGCCGGTGCCCATCAACTGATTTCAACGGCGCCCCGCACGGAATGTTCTTACGACGCTGGGAACAACTTGGTGTTAAAGAGCGGGGCTTCACCCAAGTGGGTCCTAGGGCTTCAAAGTGTAGGGTATAAAAAGTGTAGGGTGGCCCAGGCTTCCATTCGAGCATCATCTGTAATCTTTTGTGATGGATTTGTGGCCACCGGTGGGTTGAATGACTCCGGGGGCGACAGCCGTGCTGTGTAAGATGAAGATGACACCCCAACCTTTAACCCCTAAAGGGCCTTGGTATTGATGATCTTGTGTTTTTTTTGATATGTTGTAGTTGATGCTGTCATTGTTCTGGTAACTTTAGCTTCAATTCCTCAGTTTCGTTTAACAAGCACATCAAACCCCAACCTAAAACCCCAAATCCTAAACCCCGTTGGTGCAGGATGGCGGTGCAGGAAACAGAGAGAGATGGGGAGGGAGGGAGGGAGGGAGAGAGAGAGAGAGAGACACAAACACCGCGTACCCGAGGAAAGTTTCACAGTGAGAACGCGCTTGGGCGCGCTCGTGCGCGGAGGGGTCCGACGGGGCTCCTTCAAACCCAGAAGAAGAAGAAGAAGAACACGAAGAAGAGAGAGAGAGAGAGCGAGAGCTGGGGACGAACAGTGTCCATGTCTACTGTAGCATTTGAATGTACCTAGATGAGTATGGAGGGGGGGGGCTAATGCGCTATTGTGTTCCCGATATTTTACCTGTTGATTGCTTTCCTCCATTAGATATGGTCTTTGTGGTGCTTTACTGTAACTTTAGATCCTTAGCCTTTTTGGGTTTATTGGATTTCCTAGTAAGGCAGCTCTTATTGGACCCATGGACCTTGGCTGCTTCGTGCGAGGCTCGAGCAATCGGCGTGTCCCACTACTGCCGCCGACAGCTCGACGACGTGCTGAAGGCTCGACATACATTGCGTGGAAGAGCTGTGCGTAAAAGATCTTGAAAGCTTAATAGTTTTTTCATGCATATGTACACATACGAATTAACTTTTGAAAGAAATGATGTGCATAAGTTAGTGTAAGTACGTATATATATATATATGTATACATGTATATACATATATAGACAAGTAAGTATGAATGTCATACATACATATATATATATACATATATATATATGTATATATACATATACACGTCTGTGTTTAAGGGCAGTTATGCTGAATGCTGTTACCAAAGCGGGCTGGCCCCTAGTTCATCATTTAGGGCATGGATACTTTGGATCGGCCACATGTAACTGACATCTTAGGGATGGTCGGGGATATGCTTGAATTTTTTTGGGCACTATAATTCCTAAGAAACAGCTAACATGTTGGGTATGATAATTCCTAAGAAGCAGCTAGCATGTTGATTTTTTGCTAGGGTTCGACCCTAAACCCTAAACCCTAGGGTCAGTTCAGTGACTGCACGTGATCCATGCCATGGAGGTGGCCACCGTCCCGGTCGCAGTGAACCAGGCCTCATCGGGGATGTTTCCGGGAAGAAGGACAAGGTTCAGGGTTTGGTGACTTAAGGGCTTCGAGGCGGGCGAAGTCTCTTGCAACAACGTGACTTCAGGGCGTTTTAGGAAGACGTTGTATGTAGTTCGGATTATTTGAGTTGAGTTCATCGTCGTCGTCGTCGTCGCCGTCGCCCTAGAGGTAGCGTTTGCGCATAAGGCCAAGCTTCCTCTAGACAGTCTGGTGTCAGTTGGAGTTTACGCAGATCGTCTGTTCTTTGTAGTGCGCTCAGATTTCAGCAACAAGTCGAGGTGCTAGCGATATCCAGGACATAGTTCTATGACTCATCTGGCTCCCTCGTCTTGTGCCCATGACTTGGAGGTGATTTCGGTTTAGGGTTTAGGGTTTAGGGTTAGGGTTCGGAAAATAGTCTTTTCTGTGCAGCATCAGGCTGCGGCAGCGGGATCGATCTTACAAGAATCAGGCTTTTCGGGCGGCGGTGTCTTGCTGACTTTCATGTTGGTTAGTCGGGGATAGGGGAAGGAGTACGTGTAGGGCCCTAATTCCCTCATTCCCTGCTCACCACCAAACCCTAAACCCTAACCCGTCTAGCAGGTGCAATACCACGTGGGCATGGGGACCGCCCCGACGACCTCCACTGACGACCGGGACTACATGAGGGCCAAGGGGGTGCCATGGCCCATGAGATGGGGGTGTCCGAAGTTAGGGTTTGGGGTTTAGGGTTTGGGGTCCTTACTGTGAGCACTAAGCCGGCCCAAGCTTCGAAAATCCTCCGGCAATGGACCCTTACTCTCACTTTTTCAGTGTCCGGTGCTCTTTGTCCCTTCTTTAAGAGGGTGCCCTCTTTGCTTCCCAGGCGCTGTGGAACCTACAGGAGGCAACTTAAAGCCCTTTTTGCCGCTTCGTGCTTCACTTGGGTGTGGAGGTACTGTACCAATCCTTCTCGCCACTTTGCGGCCCATGCAATCCGCCGGACAACACGGACCTGTGGTCGGGAGTCGGGATGTGGGCTTTTCGGGTTTAGGGTTTAGGGTTTAGGGTTTAGGGTTTAGGGGCCTGCCGGGCTTATGATTGCTTAAAAGCTGGGCTTTGCTTTCTCTTTTCGGTTATCCGGTGTACTACCTGATGGTGGTAGAAGTAGGCTTGTATTGTGTGTTTGACTCCCCCGGTGCCTGAATGCATAGAGAGCGGAAGTATGTCCACCATTCGGCCGGCTGCCTTTATTGAGGTTTGGGGCTGAGGCTGCACTCTGAACGGTGAAGAGAGACCGAAGGGCCTGCTGACCTTGTGCCCGAGGACCACTGTCCTTAGCTAATGTCTTCTGCATGGAGTGGCGGTACTTTGGCATGTTGGATCCTAAACCCTAAACCCTTTGTTGTTCCAGATTCTTTCGGATGGTGTGTGGAGGCATGGCACATGAGGAGCTGCTCAACGGCACCCTCATCACCGGAATTGGCGCACGCTACAACAAGACCGGACCCCAGGCCCTCTCGGAAGAAGTGCTTCGGAACTTAGCCTTGCAAGACATCCTGTAGGGTGCGGGTAGGATTGGGGGGCCCCTTGAAGAGGGAACCCCTTCTCAGATCCCCTAGAGCAGGGATTCGACTGTAGCTCTGGCCGATCTAATCCTCTTTTCAAAGCCCGACGCCCAAGCCAATCCGCGAGTTCTTCTACACCCTAAACCCTAAACCCTAAACCCTAAACCCTAAACCTGCAGGTGGCGCTGCGATGGCTTGTGCAACAGGGCATCCCAGTACCTTGAACACAATGACTGAAGGGTTTGAGACTCGCGGCTTTCCGTAAAGGATCCATGGTAAACTCTTGACCGGTAGCCCGGTACTTAGACCCACAAGGGGCCATATATAGTGGCCGGCATATGTATATATGTATATATATATATATACATATATATATAGAGGGAGAGGGAGCCAACGTATTAATGTTAATAATTGCTTTGGGGTGCAAGTACTAACCGTACAAGGTGCCTGGATGCTTTGGCTTGGGGTTTCGGCTGTTTCGTTTGTTCCGGGGATTGGGGTTGAGTGGCCTGCGGAAAGAGGGGCCAACATTCCCAAGGTATGTAAAGTACAAGTTTTTTAGTGTGGCTCATTTAGAAGCGGGTTGATCGTGCGAACAGCGCGGTATTGCATGTTGGCTACATGCCTTCTTGGCATCACGTGCTCTCAGTCGCATCATTCCAAGTCAACGAGTGCGGACTCAAAGGCACCTTGCAAAGATACGCATGTGACTTGCAAGGGTTCAGAAATCCCAAGTGCCAAGACCCTAAACCCTAAACCCTTTGTTTCTCGGCTTGGCATGTGCCTTCAGGTGATCCCTAAGAGCCACGTCGCCGCGCACCAGAAGGAAAACGCCGACATCTTCGACTTCAACCTGCAGGCCGCTTTTAGGGGTTCAGGGGTTTTGGGGTTTGTTTTTTTTTGTTCAGGTTTTAGGGTTGGGTTTCGGGTTTGGGGTTCAGGGGTTTAAGGTTTCGGGTTTCAGGTCTTCTCAGACCTTAACCTGGAATGGTGTTGAGGTTTACAAAATTTAGCGCTAAGGGCTTGGCCTCTAAGGGCTTAAGGTGCTTCAGGCAGGCCCTTGGGGGTAATTATTTCTATTTATTTTTCTTTCGGCTAAAGAGGATCTTCGTCAGGAATATTTTTTCCGAGGGTGAGGTTCGCCTCCATAATATCTTTGTGGTGCTTTCCTGTAACTTTAGATCCTTAGCCTTTTTGGGTTTATTGGGTTTCTTAATAAGGCACCTAAAAATTTAATTCATAGCTACCCTTCTGAGTGCAGCCAAGTTCAGGTTAGGAACCTTTGCGAGGCTGATGCATGAGGTGTGGGTCTAAGTGGGTTTGGGGCTCTGGTTGCTAGACCCCAAAATCCTAACCCTAAAATCCTAAACCCAGCAACCGTATACAAGGTGACGTAGAGCAGAAGCACCAGCTGATAAGCGTGAAGAATCAGTCTGGCCTTCTGAACAGCACGGGGTCTCAACCGTAGGCCTGCAATTCACATTCTAGAAGTTTCTAGAAGGGCATTCGGCTGCTTGGGACCCTTAAACCGTAAAACCTGAACCACAGGCCTTGTTATACACGGTCCCATTGCAGGTTGTCTGCTACAGTAAAAATTCCTTACGACCGGGACCCCGAAAAAGAAGGGGCAAGATTTGTAGATCAGCTCCGCAGGAGCTGTACCCCAAGAAACCCTCCGAAATCCGAACACCACGCCCGGGAATCCTAGCCTCCTAGCCTAAGGTAGAACCCATAATCGTAAACCCTATAGACCCTGAGGGTTTTGAGCATGGAAGGCGCAAGACATGGCCATTCTTACGGCAGCTAAGCGCCCGGCCGTGGGAGGCGGCCCTTCTCCCCAGGACAGGCTCCTGGCTCAAAAAATGTTCTTAGGGGTTAGGGTTTAGGGTTTAGGGTTTAGGGTTTAGGGTTTAGAGCAACCGGGCGAGAACCTGAAAGCCTGATGCAAAAAATGGGCTTTAGGGCAATAAGGAAGTCCAGGCAAGAGTAGCCAGCGGGCCTGTCGGAGGCTTTTCTGTATGTAGGGTTTGGAGTTGAAGGCTACGTAGGCCCTTGACACACTTGGAGTTTCCCTTACTGGGTTCAAGAGGATCATATTCAGGAATACCCTAGAACCCTAAAACCCCTAAACCCTCATATTCAGGAAGTTGAATATTTGTCAGAGGGTTTCAAGGGCCATCCCAGAAGGCTTCACTGTCTGCGGTTAGGCGAACAGATGTTAGCAGCGTGTAGAGGGTTTGGGCTTTCGAGGTTCTGGTTAGATATTGAAACGGCTCAACTGATTAGACAGCTGACGAGGCTGAAGACCTGTCATGATGTTGGCTAAGCTTAAACCATGAATGCCATATGCCGCGGGAACGGCGAAGGAGCTGGACGTTCCTCAAGAGATACATGTTCTTTTCGGCCTTATGTTCCCTGCGGGGTGAGTGCAAAAGCTGTTCCCATCCAGCCTCAAGCTGGACGAGCTTTTTGTTGTTTACAGACGGTAGCGATGCATGCGAAGGAGGCGAATCAGGTACAAAAGGGGTCGGAATAATTACGACTCCCTTAGGGTCCCTTTGTAACTATACTATAGTGCCCCCCCAAACCCTATTCTAATTTTTCAGGCCCCTATAGTACAGTTGCGAAAACAAAGTCTGGTGGTGAAGCGGGTGGGCCCCATGACCGGCAAGGCTTTCCAGGGCACCCGCAAGAAAAAGAAAAGGTTGGGACGTTCCCCTTATTACTAGCAGCCCTTAATCGGGATCACAGTAGGGGGGGTACGATAATCCCTACATATTTCGGAGGACAGCGGCGACTGCGGAATCCTGGAAGAAGAGGCCAGCGAGCTTTTGCTAGTTGTCTTTGTGTTGTTCCTGCATCTAGATGCTTCTTTCGGCAGTTTTTGAAGTTTACAGTAGGTAGCCTTCAACCTTTTGTGGGATGTTTAGGGAATATATAATCCGGCCATAAAATTCAAAGTTTATAGGTTAACCTTTTGGCCCACGGTACTCAGCAACTAGGTCCAGGCTGAGGGTTTGAGAGTTTCAAACGGATTTAGATGGAGGGCGCTTGAGGTTCTGGATTGTCGGCGTGGTTGCTCAGGTCTCTTTGCCCACGGGATCCATGTACCAGTTGTCATGTGCCAATTTCGCGGATTCTTAGACCTAACCGGGCGTATTTTTCTGGGAGGCCCCAAGTATATTCTCTGTAAACGTACTTTGCAAAAAACTCCTAGTAAGAAAGCGTCTGCAAACCTGGAAAGGCCAATGCAAAAGTGAAGCCTGCAACTTTGACCTGTTGTGCTGCATGGCTCATGAAAGAGAAACCGGAGACCAGTGAGGAGTCATCGTTGAATCGTTGGGATCCTCTTGGCCAATCGAAGCCTCAACCTACCAGCGTCTCAGGAGAAAGTGATGGTCGTCTGAGTGATCTCACACCCTTGAGTGCATTGCACCGTGTGGCTTTAGAGGGCTTATTGTGTAGACAGCAGCTCGGGTCACGGACCTTCGTGACTCCTCACAGGGTATGTAGGCTTGAGCATATGTTTTAGTTGTTCTTACCCCTAACGCCTATTAAGCCCCTTTGCATCCCCAGGCGGCCACTCAACCAGACTGTTTAGCTGCCCCCCTAAACTGTCATGCCAACAACTGAGCCTGCTGTCCCCTTGGGACTTCTCAGTTCATGGCGCTCATTCACCCCCCCCAAATGCCCAATAGCTCCCAAATCCCTCCCCCCGTCTCCTGCAACGCGTCCGCTGCATCTCGCGCATTTGGTGCCAGACGAAGGTGGACAAAAAGAGGTTGAACTGGGGTAATCATCTGTACGGCTCGAACCGTTCATGCAGAATTCAGAGTTAACGCCTAGGCAGGGGTGGTTCTTCTTGTTTTTGGTTTCGTTATATCTAGCATGTAAGACAAAGTACACTCGTATACTCCCTTTAGGTAATCCCATCTGACCCTTCCACCACCCCCCCTCCCCTCTCCCTGCCTCCGAAATAAAAGCCAAGGTGTTCCCCCTCCCCCTCAACACAACAACAAGCTAAAGGCAACATTGAATTCGAAACCCCAAAGCAGGTCCCAGCCCTCAAAGTCCTTTGCATGTCCCACTTGGAGGTTCATGGTTCAAAACAGCCCAAATCATTACTGCAATTACTTCTCACCCAATGAGAACCACATTAGGGCACTTGAGGGGCTTCTGAGTCATTAAGTGGGTGATAAGTGAAGTTATAATTGGGTTCGAAGTACCATGAACCTTTACGTGGTTTACTAGTACAGTTATAGTTGGGTTTCAGGACGGGCTCTTATATACCCTCTAACCCTGTAAAAAGTTAAGGCCCTTTATAGGTTTGATTATGGGGACTTTCGGGCCGAATAGCCCATCCTGGTTACTAAGTACCATGACCCTCCAAGCACCTTCAACAACGATCTCCCTCGAGGAGCAGAGAGCCGCGGCCGCAGCGCGGTCCCCGCGCTCCCCGGTGGCGAAGGGAAGGGTTTAGGGTTTAGGGTTTAGTAGGGTTTAGGGTTTAGGGTTAGGGTCTAGGGCTTAAGGTTTAGGGCTTAGGGCTTCGGGCTTAGGGCTAAAGACTCCAGCTTGCCGGCATACGTCCAAAGCCCGTGCTCAAAAAGGCTTAGGGCATAGGGCTTAGCGCTTAGGGCTTAGGGTTTAGGTTTTAGGGTTGGGATTTTCTCCTTATACTAACAGCCCCTTAATCGGGATTTTAATAATTAGGGGGGGCCCGATCATCCCTATTAAGGACTGTTACTATAAGGGGGAACATCCCAAGCTAGACGGTGCTTGCGGCTTCAGAAATTAGGGGCTTCAAGGCCAGCAGCAGGGGGGTGGGGGTGTTGGGGTTTAAGAAGGAATCGCCTTAGGGGGATGCCAATACAAAGTCGCAGGCAAAAGCCCTAAGCCCTGAACCCTAAACCACTCGCTCAGGTCTCCCTGCTTCGCAGATAGGAGGGATTCTCTCCGCCAAGTTGTGCGCCCAAAGGTGTGCAGCCGGGTATTGATTTCGAAGGGCCACGGCTTGCCTGAAGCTCCCAACCACCACGCCAGCCTCAAGCGGTATCGGGCTTAGGGTTTAGGGTTGACAGTAACTGACGATTTGTTCCGGATCAGGGTCCCCCTTTTTAAACACACCTTATAGAAGGACTCGAACCCCCCCCCCCCCCCCCCCCCACTCCCACCTCAGGGGCCTTCTTCCGCAGCGCAGTCAATCTCTCTTCGCGCCCCGCGCAAGCGGGATGCCAAGCCCCGGGGGGTTTTCAGCACAGGACATTTGGGGGTTGACGAAAGTAGGGGGTACCTTTTTGGGGGTCCTTCTTATTCTGCGGCTTGGGGGTCTATAAGGGGGTAGCCGCACGTAATTCCCAAGTAGGGATTTTGGAAAGGGGTTCTCAGGCTAAAGGCTCCAGGGGCGCAGGGTTTCGGGTCGATTTGCTGCCAGGCTTGGCCTTACATCGGGAATTCTGTGAGGAGGTGTTAGGGTTTCGAGTTGGGGTGTTCCCCCCTTATACTAACGGTCCTTAATGAGGATGATCATAGGGGGCACGGGAATCCCAAAAAGGACTCTTAGTACAAGGGGGAACATCTAGGGTTAAGGGTTTAGGGGTTTAGGGAGGGTGGCTGATGACAGCTGGCTGCCTTTGCTCAGAGTTCGGCGCACGGTTTGGGGGTTCCAGAGGATGACAACCCTAAACCCTAAACCCTAAACCCTAAAAACCCTAAACCCTAAACCCTAATCCTAGACCCTAAACCTAAACCCATCAGTCAGTTCTTCAGCCCCTTACAATTGCTCCTCGAGGATAAGGCACTTCCCCACACGTCTTGAGCTGTTGGGGTTCAGCACCGGTTCGCAAAGGTGATGACCGAACTTTGATTTGCTTTTGTTTGTTTTTTTGTGTCGGCACAGTAGAAGAGCTCTCAAAGCAGACTCGTGCCGAGGTGCAAGGAGGTAAGGTGCCCAACGAACTATCTTCGAACAGGAAGGTACTGGACCCTCAACCCTGACAAGAGCCAGCCGAACCCTAAACCTTAAAACCTGATGCTAGCATGTCAGCTAGAAAATTGGCCACAAGTCCCTAAACCCCAGAAAGAGTCCGCGCCCTCAAGCCTAAACCCTCAACCCGAAACCCTATCATACAGCCCACTCCTCGGAGAGGTGATCGTTACCATGCACTGGGAGATGGGCCCCAGGTGGGCCCCTCCCGTGCCTTGTGCTCGTGGGCGTAAGGTTTTTCATTTTTAACTGAGCCTTAGGGTCTGAGTAGGTAACCTTTAACCTTTTGGGGTATATAGAATCCTACCAGAATTGCAAGGTTAGCCTTTTTTTGGGCCCAGGGTACTCGGCAACTAGGGAACTGATTCCTCAGGTTTGCCGGATGCAGGCTGTGCCGTAACCCTGAGACTCGGCCCTAGGGTTTAGGGGTTTAGGGTTTAGGGTTTAGGGTTCAGGGTTTAGGGTTTAGGGTTTAGGGTTTAGGGCTACACTCCAAATACCCGAATTCCTGATAAACGCTGAGCTCCGTTTCCCGGGTTCCCCGCTAACAACCCGCTAGGCCCAACCCAACGTTGCCGCTGCAGCGCCTACATGCTGAGGGTCCAGGGTTTAGGGTTTAGGGTTTAGGGTTTAGAGTTCAGGGTTTAGGGTTTAGGGTTTAGGGTTTGTGGGGTTCAGAATCCTAAGCCTTAAATCGCAATGGAGCTTAGACCAGACATAACCTCTGAATTCTGGGACTCTGGGAGCCTTCCGAGCATTTGTCTTTGCTGAGGCCCAGTGCTTGTCTCCGCTACATTTGACATGCTTCCGTTTCGTGCAGAACGCGTTTGCTACACATAGCGGATGCCTCAAGGCAAGACACCTCCCAGTACCATCCCAGCCGTGACGAGAGCTTCGCAGAACGCCGGTATGTGTGCATACAAGCATAGATTCAGCAAGAGATAGAGATATGGGTTGTTAAAGTTGTTAAGAGTGATTTCTAAACCCTAAACCCTAAACCCTATAAACTCTAAACCCTAAGCCCTAAAAGAAGCAACATAGGTTAACGACTCCTTTAGCCAGCCGTTTCACGCTGCTAGAGTCTGCTAGAGCCATGTCTGCGAAGGAAGTCGACCCCCGGAAGATCAAAAAGACACCAGATTGATGAGCTGGGGTTTAGGGTTTAGGGTTTGGGGTTTAGGGTTTAGGGTTTAGGGTTTAGGGTTCCGAAACTTAGGCCAAAAGGCAGAAGAGGGCAACCCGAAGTCTGAGCTTCACAGAGGGGCCCTGAACAGCTGGAAGAGGGCTGTGGGGGATTGCAAAACCCACAGGGTCCATTTGTAGTACCATTATGGATTTAGGTACCCCAAAACCCTATTTAGTATGGTTTTTGGTACTTAATGCCATAATAGTACTACAAATGGACCCTCTGGGAAAGTCTTACCCCGATGTATTTTGTGCGCCCGCGAAGCTATGGGCTGCTTTTTGTGGACGTTTGTTTTGGGACTGTAGTCCGCAGTGGTTGAGCGAACTTATGCCTTCGCCTTGCTACACATCTTCCCAGAAGTTCATAATAGTTACTCTTATACCTGAACATGAGTCTCCTAAGCCCTACTTGGTAGCCCGGTGCTGCCCTTGTTGCCCCCCTTTTTTTGGCTTGCAAAGCGTTGGGGGTACCCTTATTATATGGGTACTGGGCCACCAAGCTCAGTTTATAAACCCTAAACCCTAAACCCCAGCAAAGGAATGCGGACAGCAAGTTCATCGAGGCCCTCTCAGATGTGCCGGTGGAGGGATCCAATGAGGCCTCTCGGGTCGCCATTTGAAACGGGGGTTCAGGATTTAGGGTTTAGGGTTGTGTGTGTCTGTGTGTGTCCAAGAGTTCGGGCTTGCAACCTTAAACACTTACAAACTCTAAATAAGCCCTAAGAGTTTTTTGGGCCCTTTTCAAAAACCCCCAAAAAAACCTCAGCCCTAAGAGTTTAGAACCCTTACATACCCTAAAACCCCCAAGAAGAAACCTAAGCCCCTAAGAGGTTTTTGGACCCTGTTTCACCGCGAGCTCTGCCCCAGGCTGTGTACTTTGTCCTGCGCGGCCTCGGGATGAAGGCTGTGGTCTTGGCTCGTTGGGCTTCGGATATACAAGTTGTGCTTTTAAGGCGAATATGTCTATGTGTGTATGTATGTGTATATATATATATGTATATATATATATATATATTTATTTATTTTTTCTTTATTTATTTATTTTTTATGTTTTTACATTATTATTATATATATATATATATATGTGTGTGTGTATCTACATCTATGTAAATATATTCGTGTATAAATAAATAAATATATATATATATATACATATATATATATATATCTTCAGAATACATGCAATAATGTTGCAAATAGCAGAATCCTGAGATATACATGAAGAAATACAACCTTAGCGTATTAGAATTAAGATAAGATGTATGTATGCACTCATGTAGAAAATCTGCAAAAGCTGGGCTGCTTTTGTCCGAAGCAACCGGAGCTCAACAGATGGGTTAGCCAGGCCGGTCGCAAAAAGAGCCCTAAACCCTAAACCCTAAACCCTAAACCCTCGAAAGCCTGCTGGAAGGCCTTCGAGGGTCCTGGAGATCTGCCGCGGATTGAGATCCTCAGCTTATCGACCTAGCCATGCCATTTTCCAATGACGCGACACGATTAGGTACCCGAACGAATCGAACAACAATTAGGTGTCTAGGCAGGACCCACCTTTCTTCTAGTGCTAAAGGGAATAATCAGCACTAAGGCAGCACTAAGCCATTCAACAACAAGGTCTTCTCCTTTTTTCAACCCTATAGGTTCCCGGGCAACCTCCCTTACAGGTCTCATACAAAAACTGTAGTCTCCTTGGGAATTATGTGTCTTGTTGGTGGCATCATGGGATTCTACTTCGGACCCCTAAGGTTGCACCCTTGGGTTTGGGGACCCTTTTTCTAGATCCTCTAAGGCAATATAAGGGCCATACTCGGAGTGCATTGAGCTTAGCACTCCGAGTATGACTCCCTTAGAAACCCCAAGGGAATACTGACAGTTTCTTTTGGGATGATTCGTGCTGGGATTCCCTTTGGGAACGCTTTAGGGGTATGGGATGAGGATGTTCCAACTTTCTGGAGTTCACTGTAAAAACAAGAAAGCCTAAACCCTAAATCCTAAACCCTAAACCCTGAACCCTAAATCCGAAATGAGGATCATGGCAGCCCAACACCCGAAGCTCTTTGCCGCACTGCGACGGCTGGGCCTGCGCCACATTCGGGAGCCTGGGCTTAGGGTTTAGGGTTTAGGGTTTAGGGTTTAGGGTTTAGGGTTTAGGGTTTAGGGTTTAGGGTTTAGGGTTTAGGGACTTCTCCTCCGTTTCGGAGGTTTGTAGGAGTTGAAGGATTAGAGGTCAGGGGTTGAGGGGGTTGGGATATCTTTATGTTAGGGCTGGGCAATCTTTATGTTGAGGTTAGAGCGGGCTCTCTCAATCAGCTTCATGGCAGCGTCCGCATGTAATATACTTTGGATGTTCATAATTTGTGGGGCACTTTGGGTCCGCGAAGGGTGGCTGCCGATTGCCTTCGGCGAGCGTGCTTAGTGACCACTCTTCTGGAGTGTGGGAAAGCTCCTTGTTTGGTGGGTCGATTGAGTGCTTCGTGGCAACACGAGCCCTACAACCTTGAACCCCAATCAATGCTACAGTAATATACCAATGCAAAAGTCTAGCAACAAAACCACGGAACAACATAATCTACGCTCATACAACGTAACAACATACACAGATCATGCTATAGGCAGCAAGTCAAAAATATATATATATATATATACTCAGAGAGAGAGAAGCACATGGTAGTATGCAATAAGATACTCTCACAACATCACAGTATAGCAATATGGACATAAACAAAAAACTAAACCCTTAAACCCTTAAACCCTTAGACCCTTAGACCCTTAGACCCTTAGACCCTTAGACCCTTAGACCCTTAGACCCTTAGACCCTTAAACCCTGAAACCCTGAAACCCTGAAACCCTAAACCCTTAAACCCTTATAAACCCTTAAACCCTTGAACCCTTGAACCCTTCAACCCTTCAACCCTTAAACCCTAAAACCCTTAAACCCTTGAAAACCCTGAAACCCCCAAACCCTTAAACCCCGAAACCCTTAAACCCCTAAACCCTAAAACCCCAAAACCCTTAAGCCCCTAAACCCTAAAAAACAAAAGTCTGAAGGACCGGATCATCCTGGAGCCTCGGGGAGATGATGGCCCCAACCTCTTCGACACCACGGCGAGTCGGGGAAAGTTTGCCAGCGACTGGGAGAGCACTTCGTTAAGGGGTTTAGGGGTAAGTTAGGGGTATTTAGGGTTTAGGGTTTAGGGTTGATAGGGGTTTAGGTTTTAGGGGTTTAGGGGCATTGGGCGTTAAGGTGCTTTCGCGCCGCCCTCAGAAGGACAGCACTTCGCACGACAGTCGGAGTGGGGTGCAGGCTTCTGGGGTTTAGGGAGGACACTTGCGCAACAAAGCCAGGGTGAAGAGTAGAGTGTACCAAGTTTAAGGTTTAGGGTATAGGGTTAGGGTCTTCGGTTTGGGGTTTAGGGTTTAGGGTGTAGGGTTTAGGGTTTAGGGTTTAGGGTTTAGGGTTTAGAGTGTTTCTTCTGGGCTTCCTTGTAGGGTTTATGGCGGATCAGGAGTTCCGGCTCACACCCGGCCGGGACATGTTGTCAGGAACCCTGAACCCCAAAACCTTAAGCCCAACAGCCCTAAACCTAAAACCCTAAATCCAAAACCCTCCCAAAAACAGCAAAAACCCAAAAAACAATGAGACCCCAAAGAGCCTAGACCCGAAGCCCTATAAACCCTATCCTGGGGTACAGTTGCCGCAGTGCCGCACGCCGGGCCCTGTTTTCTAAGGGAAGTTTCCTGGGCCCCGAATATATGGTCCCTTACCTTCTTCAGAGGGTTCTGAAGTATAGGCCCCCTTGGCTCTCATAAGTTCTATAAGAGTTATTTATATAGGTTGACTGCCCTTGATATGGTCCCTTACCTTGTTCAGAGGGTTCTGAAGTATGGGCCCTTCGCTTTTGTAGGCTCTATAAGGGGTATGTAGGCGGACTATTGGAGAGTACGAGTCGGGAGGCCCCACTTAGACCCTGATGAAACCCTAATCCCCCTTCTGTCTCCAGCTTGAGGTTGGGAGAATGTTACGAGGAGGGGCCCCCTAGTTATAAGTAGAGTTATAAGAACCCTAAATTGGGTTATAAGGTTCCTAAATTATAGGAAGGTTATAAGTCCCTTAACTACAGTTAGTATAGTAAGGGGCCCCTCCTTGTAGAGCTGAGGCTCAGGCTCCAAGTTCTCATCGAGCTGTCCAGATCTCCGCCCCGTGCTCGAGCTACCGGGCAGCTCAGGGGTGGGTTGAAGCTTGCTGGGGCTTCTGGCGAGTTTGGAGGTGTTAGGGCTCCGTTTCAACACTGCAAGGGGGCAGGAGGGTTGTGAGCATCTCTTGTTTGTGCTGAAATGCAAGCTCCACACCTCAACCCGCAACCCCAGTCTTGGAGTCTGCAGAGTCCTTCTATACCTTGTTGTTCTATACTCTGCAGTATAGACCTGCAGGGGTCCAAGGCCAATGGCCAAGACTAGGTCCCAGACTTCAAACCCTAAACCGTGAAGAACCCTAACCTAACCCTCAACCCTCAACCCTACACTTACCCCCTAAACCCTCAACCCTCAACCCTAAACTTACCCCCTAAGCCCTCAACCCTAAACCTGCCGTAAATCCGAAAACCCTGAGCCTGCAGCCCTTCGACTGGCAGATTGTAGTCTCAAGCTCGGGAAGCTTAGGGTTTAGGGTTTAGGGGTTAGGGTTTAGGGTTTAGGGCTTGAAGCTGAGGCAAGCTGAGGGAGTAGTAGGGAGCATTGGGGAGCCTTGGGCTATATACCCCCCTTGAACCCCTAGAAGCAGAGCGAGGTCTGGGCTACACGCCACGACCCGCACTCTCCGCCCACCCCGACTCCGAGGAGATGGCACTGTTTTCAGAATCTAGGCGGTTTAGGGTTTAGGGTTTAGGGCTTAGGGCTTAGGGCTTAGGGCTTAGGGTTTAGGTGGGGTTTAGGGTTTAGGGAGTTTAGGGAGTTTAGTTTAGGGGGTTTAGGGGGTTTTAGGGGGTTTAGGGGTTTAGGGGGTTTAGGGGTTTAGTCAAAAAGGGTTTGGGGCTTACAGGGGTTCTCAAAGTTTAATTCGGCTTTTGGCTCACACCCTTGGCATCTTCTGAGGTGGATGCGCTGGCAGCGGTTTTGGCAGAAAAGGGGGCATGACCCAAAACAGGGGCACCCCTTTTGTACCCAAAATAGAATACTTTCAAGGGATCCCCCCCCCCCCCCCAAAAAAAAAAAAAAAAAAAAGGCCCTAAACCCTAAACCCTAATATTGTAAACCCACACTCCTGGAACTTAGAGACTCCGGAACTCCAACACCCATATGGGTGCCTTGCAGGGCACGGGATCGAGACGGCGGAGGACCGGAAAGTGTTCTACCATCAGCCGCCTGGTGAAACATCCCAGAACAGACGTGAGCTCCAAGCTTTTTACCCCACTTGGAGGTTTCATGGCACTTAATAACCCTTTTGTATCTGTACTTACAACCCAAAAACAGGGGCCTCCTCCGTAAAGTCAATTTGGCTGGGCTATTCAGGACACCCTGACGGTTTGGGGTTGCGCGGTGGGATCCTGAATAAAGTCGAACCGTCCGGGCGCCGTAAGAAAATTCCACGTGGCGCGCCTCTAAAAAGATTGCAGGGCATCGCTGCCCCTTGTAAACATATATAAGCTCCTCCCTATTAAAATCATATAAACCCCCAGGACCGTTCAAAGAGGATCAAATCCAGCCTGGGGGGGAGGGAGGGCGGGGCCCAACACTTTAAACAGGGTCCAACATGAAACCCTGAACCCGAAACCTCAATTGGGTTCTAAGTACACTTACTATTGTCCTAGGTAGGATAAGGGGGACCCTTAAAAGGGAGCCCCTTCTTAACCCTCTTCTGGCCCTCTTAAACAGGGACCTTATTCAGAGGGTCTATATCCCCAAGGGTCCCCCTAATCCTATCCCCTATCTTGGGTTATGAAGTACCATGAACCTCCCAACAGTGATGCAGGTCAGCCATGGGTCTTTGCGACCCCACATGAACCCTAAAACTGAGGCCATCATACCAAAAAGCCCGATCAAGGGATATGAACCAGAAAACCTGTTGAGATTCATTTGGTCCCCAAGGATCTAGCTTTGGGAGCAGATCGAACGACGTGGGTTTAGGGTTTAGGGTTTAGGATCTTCTTTGCACCTACGCTTTCTAAGGATGTCCTACCCCAAGGGTGTGGCGAGGAAGTTTCCGCAGCTTGCATGCAGTGAGAATTCGGCGTTAGATGGGATGTTTGGGGTTTAGGGTTTACCGTTTAGGGCTTAGGGTTTAGGGTTTAGATGTGCGCAAGACGCGGAAGTTCTCAGGTCATGCCTGCCACGCCCGGGTTTCCTGCGTGGTTTTGTTGTTTCTGTTTCCAGCAAGACTTGCAGCTTTCAGTTCAATGTTGCCTTGAACCGTGGATGCACGGGGTTGACAACACACTGCCTAGGCAAAGCTTGAAAAACGCTAAACCCTGGACCCTAAACCCTAGCGCGATTTTTCTCAACCTGCAAACCCCAGTTGTCGACAAGACAAGTCATCATGAACTTTCAAGTCCACATGGAAGCTTCGGGGTACTTCGGAACAGTCTGTTGAATTTTGGGTACTATGCCTTCAATTAAAGACCCCGCAAAGTTATGATTTTTGCTGGGGGTTCCATGTTCAGTATATTTGTATTGTGGGCACTATACTTCCTAAGAACCCGCAAAATTATTTTTTTTGCCAGGGGTTCCAAGTTCAGCATAGTAAGTCCCGTAAGTCCCTACAAGCAGTTGGACTCAAAGGGCCCCCCCCCCCCCCCCCCCCCCCAAGCATGCCCCACTGTTAAAAGAAGTTGGTCGCTTGGTCCTTTCTTGGGGTTACTATTCTAAGGCGTCCCCTCTTATGTAGGGTAAGTACCCCAAAAAGGCGACCATGAATTTGCGGAACTGACCACCGGGTCGTTGTTGAAACACATTTTTTTCCTTTTGTGAACCCAAGAAGGGAACAAACATTATCATTTTTTTAAATGGTGCCCCAACAATCTTTTCTACAAAAGCAGAGCCCCTGAAGCCGAAAGCCTAAACCCCTTAAAGGCCTGAACCCCCGAGCCCCTCAAGCCCTGCCAGGAAACCCTAAACCCTAAACCCGAAACCGCCCCCAGGTTTGCCATGGCCCTGCACGAGGCAAAAGGCCGTCAGCCACCCAGCCTGACGGCAGCTCGGGAGGCCGGGGTGTAGGGTTTAGGGTTTAGGGTTTAGGGTTCAGGGTTCAGGGTTTAGGGTTTCGGACTATAGGGTTTAGGGTTTAGGGTTTAGGACTATAGGGTTTAGAGAGGTCGGTTCTAGTTTAGGGTCAGGGTTTAGGGTTGAGGGAGGAGCTCTGCGTTGGCTATGGTTCCGGTGTTCGGCTCAGGGGACGGCTGGGCCGGGCTGATCTTGCTTGCAGCAGGATGCAAAAAACTCAGGGCTTTGCCCACTCTCTCAGACCTTGATGTGTGGTGATTGTCCGTGAGGATTGCGCAAGCAATGCAGAACAACCCTAAACCCTAAACCCTAAACCCTAAACATCCTCAGACTCACAGCTTGGCAAAGCCTTCTGTCAAAGGGCTTGGCCCTCTTTGTGAAGGGAATCTTGTGCTTCCTACTCCCGACCCCTTCTGGTGGTAGAACAAAAAGGGGCCCTTCCAGTGTTTGAGAAATTCCCCTGTGGTGGAGAAGTCTTACTGGTTCTTCGCAGAAATAGTCGAAATGTCATTGCTACTATGGTTCTCAGGGGAGTACAGTGGGAGGAGATAGGGCACCTAGGTTCCCCCAGTCCCTACGAGGAGGGGCCGCCTTACTATACTAACTGTAGTTAAGGGACTTATACCCTAATTTAGGATCCTTATAACCCAATTTAGGGTTCTTATAACTCTGCTTAGAACTAGGGGCCCCTCCTTGTAGTTCCCTCAGTCCCTACAAGGCCGCAGCCGCCTCGCAACCGAGCTCACCGAAGCTTTGCTCAGCCAAGCAGTGGCCTTTTGAACTTTTTGGTGGTATTATGCTTATTGAGTAGGGAAAATTTTGGGGTATTTTGTCTTATTGAGTAGGGAAAAATGAAGCTTTGCCCTAAACCCTAAACTCTTATTGCTAGGACCCTAAACCCTAAGGCTTCATCTTTTTTTTTACTCCCTGTTTATTGGAGTAAGGAAGAGGGGGCCGGAACCCAATCGACTCCCGGCGCCCTGCCTTGGACAGTTTCCGAAGCAGTGAGCTCAAGTACACGAAAATGAGCACGCAAGAATGGTATGTATGTATACATACATATATATATATATATATATCCTTGTTAGACACACACACACACACCTTGAATAATCAGCAACACACACACAATAGATGCGGCTTTGCACGTCCCTTTGTGACCGCCAAGCTTGGCAATGGCCAGGCTTGCACGTTTGATTTCATCGGCTCTCAGCTTGGCAAAAGGCTGCGAAGGTCTTACATGCGCAGAGTCCAAATTATACCCTACAACCCCTCAAAAAGCCCCTTTATGGGGTTGACCATGGGGATTATAGGGGTCTCAGAGACCATCCTGGATGCAAACCCAGGACATACGCTCGTCGCGGACGATGAACCCATCACGGTCCACACAGGAGTGCGTGAACTTGGCTTGATAGGCTTCACTGCGCCTTCTGCCCCTAGCGATAGTCTTACCATCCTCACATACGCACACACACACACACTTGTTTGTTGTTTGGTCAGCTCGATGTGTGTATAACATATATATATATATATGTATATATATATACACATGTATTTCATATACACTATGCAGACACACATGCATACCTACATGCATACATACATACACGATATATGTGTGCACTTTCGTATGTTTCATGTATGCGGAGAGGTCCCTCTCGCCTTCCTCTCTCCGCTTGCGTCATTGGGGAGATCCAGCAAGAGTTCGACGCTCCGACCCACTCACTCCGAGCTGGGAAAATTGCCACCCGAACCTCCATTTCACAGGAACAGAAACTCTTCCCCCTGTCATCCCTCACAAGGGTACGAAGCTGGGGGCATTGGCTCGGAGACAGGGCTTGGGGTGCGTTGCGGCCGTACCAAACGTGCCCGCAAGCACCGACTGAGGGAACAAGCAAGTTCAACATCCCCTTTTGGCCGCGCAAACTCCTACAGTATCCCCTTGTCATGTGGAGCAATGCGTTCGATTTAGAGAGAGAGGGAGAGAAGTACATGTTTATATATACATGGAGTTGATTAACCATACGCGCACATGTACATGTGTTTTATCCGGGTTTCACGATGTATTGGTATTATATGAATTTTGAACATGTTGAATATGAATGAACAACACGCACACACACACAAACATGACGGGAAGAAATATGCATATATCTGTATACACCTCCTTTTGTTTGTTATTCATTTGCAAACTCAAAGCAGCTTCATGCGCACCTTGGAACGTGGGATCTCCTTTGTCAGGAGGCAGAGGGCCTGGTCACGACGCCCACATCCGCTCAGTCTGTAGACCAGGTGTGGCCTAGTTCGGGTTCAGTCATACTGTAGTATTGTGATCGAATATATGGCATACGATAAAATACAGACATACAATATTTCAATAGTAGAATCGGCAGAATAGTATTGCTGTGACAAGCCAGGGCTTAGTGACGTTGTACCTTATGATTGGCTTGCACGGGCTGCCAAAGTCTTTGGGGCTGTGCAACTGCCCCGGGCGAAGGGATACAAGCCCCGAAGAAGAAGTTTGGGCTCTAGGGTTCGCTGCCGGTTCAGGCAATGACTTGCAGCAGACTTGCCAGGGTCCATTCATGAGAAGGCTTGACGACATTGCAGTGCTCCCCCGGAGGGGGAGGGGGGGGGGGGGGGCAGATAAACAAAAAACACACCGACGTCCTCTCCCCCGCCACATCGGCGTATCGGGGTATCGGCGCATCATGGCGCGTCGGCATTTTTTCTGTATCGGCGTATCTGCAGGCGGGGCAATAGGCAAGGAGGTGGACGGGGGCGAAGAGGTAACGAGACACACCAGATGTCGGCGCATCAGCGCAAGGGCGCTGCACCGATACACCGATACATCCAGGGCAGCAACGCACCAATGCACGGACTCAGGGGTTCCCCACAAGTGGCCGACGCATTCCTGTGGCAACCAAGGCCCGGTAAATGTTGGGCCTCGTTCGGTTTTGTGCCGAAGGGGGTTCCCGGAATGTTTCATTCAATGCTTGCGAGCAGGGACAGAGTAAGAGCTTCTCCATGTTATGGAGTATCTGCTCGCACGCATGCACGACAACAGTATACATGGGGGTTTCCGAAATTAGGGGTACCTTATTGGGGTCCCTTACAAGAAGGGCATCCTACTATTTGGGGTCTATATATGAGGGGTCCCCTACAATCGTAAATCCCCATGTATTGGTAGCAAGTATGGTCTTTGTGGACCCTAATCTCACAGCAGGCCCAAACAAAGCTAGGCCTCTTTTGCTTTCGGTGTGGGGGTCGCGCTGCGGACATGGGGGTAAACAACAGATGGGGAGGAGGGGGAGGGGAAGGGGAGGTGGGGATATCGCTATGCGCCGGGTGGGGGGAAGGTATCGGGCGTATAGGTGTAAGTCAGTTGTTCGCCCCTCTTTGCACGCACGCTGATTGCTGTTGAAGGCTTCCACGCAACATGCTCGAAACATTGACAGGGAATCCAAAAACCAGAAGAAATGAAGAACCCTCATGCAAGGCCCACCGGGCCTGAAGGAGTGCCACTAATTTCTCAGACACCCGGCACCCTGTTCCAGGACGCCTCAAACCAATGCTTGTCGGGCTTGAAAGTTTCTCACTTGAAGAGCCCAAGACATAGTCCATGTGGAATGAAACACCCTTCTAGGATTCTTCGGTAGGCCACCTACGTAATTTTCCCCAAAGCCCTTAAACCCGAAGCCTAGCCCGAACCATAAAGACACCCTATTCTGCGCAGGCGGCATCGGCGAAACTTTGGGATCGGCTCTACAGGCCCAGGCGCTCGCCCCAGGAGCAGGAGCCTCTGCAATTTAGTGCCAACTCAGGGCGAAGCTAGGGGATGTTAGGGAGTGCTTCAGGGGGTTCAGCGACTTCAAGTGTGGATTTTGAGCATCAAGGAGCCATGCTCTTGACACCCTGGCAAGTTGCAGGTGGGCCGCATGCCATCTGCGGGTAATGCTTCCTCCTGTGACCTCTCTTGCTTGATGCTGTCTTCGCTCCATCACGTTGGTTCTCTGAAAATAGGCTTATGCAGTCTGTAAGTTTGTTCGCATGAGCTTGGAATCTGCAAGTATGTATGTATGTAAATATACATAGTTATACATGTTTATTCATATATTTATTTATATTTATACCTTCATACATACACACACACATATATATATATGTATGTATGTATGTATGTATGTATGTATGTATGTATGTATGTATGTGTGAAGGTGTGTGGAAAGCTTTGCGCATATATATATATATATATATATATTATATTTATATCTATAGTTTATATTTATGTTTATATTTATATTTATTTATTACATTCACACATAACGGTTTGTGTATATGTAGAAATATATATATATATATGTGTGTGTGTGTGTGTGTGTGCGTGTATATCGCGGTGGCTGATAAATTCAACGATGCATGTATGCGTGTGTATATGCACACGTACACTATGTGTGTAATTGGGTAGATGTATATATCAAGAATAATCACTGGGCTTCCATGGCCCAGGGCCCCTCGTGGGTCCTTGCACAGGTTGTAGAACCGGCACTAGACACGCAGGGACAACTACCCAGACATGTCGTGTGTTTATGTACAAGGGGCAAGGTTGCAATGTGGAGGCAAATGCTTGAAACTGAATGAAGCAGATGCAGCGATACTTCCTGAGCCCCACAAAGCCCAAATCCCTAAGCCCGAAGGTCAAGCTATCCCGTAACTGCAGGGGCAGTGAAAACCCCTAAACCCTAAACCCTAAATCCTGCTCATGGTGACACCGCCCCAAAGCCCCCGACACTTCTCTGGGCGACCAGGAGAGCTACTTCACAAAGTCGCCCTGTCGAGTTGTTGGGGGGAATGTGTGTTTGCCTCTGAACCTTTCTTCTCTCGCCCGCACCTCTCTCACGTGTGTTTTTGTGTTTGCGGTTTTTTTGTTGAAGGTAAGAGAGACAGGGGAACCGCTAGGCATGAGCATGGGACTAGGGCGAGGTTGGGCGATGTATGGTTTTACAGGCATCTAAGCTGGCAGGATTTGACTGGAGAGTAAGAAGCCTGTTTGGAGGCTTTTCGTATGTTCAGGCGTCCTTCAACGCTGCAGAACTATACTACTATAATCCCTACTATACGGTATGTGAACCATAAACGCTTTTAGGGTCATTCGGTCCCCAAAGTACTCCACCCGAGTGATTTCGAGAAGTTGCTACCTGAGAACACTGCAGGTTCTGATTGGCTTGCAAGAGCGCCGCAGGGATTATATTGGGAGCCCTGTGAAAAGAGTTTTGTGGTGTAGGGGTTAGCTTTTCGGGCTCAGGTTTCGGGTTTAGGATTCAGGGGAAGCAACGTACAGGGTTTTTGCCGAGGCTGAGAGGGGTAGTATCTTTTCCTGGCAGTTGTACCTCCAGTTGCAAAAAGGGTTTAGGGGAAGCAGTCCAACCCTAAACCCTAAACCCTAAACCCTAATAACCCTAAACCCTAAACCACGCAGGCGCGCTAGTGTGAGGGTCGAAGGCCTAAACCCCACAGCCAGACAGAACCCGCCAGGCTCGCGAAGCCGAAGGTCGTTCGCCCAAAGGTGGTGCCCGTCGAGTTCGGCGTGCGCGAGCACCCATGCCCGCATGCGAGGGATGGGTTAGGGTTTTGGGTTTGGGGTTTGGGGTTTGGGGTTTACGGTGTAGGGTTTAGAATTTTGGGGTTACAATGGCTCAGGCGCTGAATCACGCGGCAAAAAGCCCGAATATCCAAGGGCAAGAGGGACATAACACCTCCAAAGCCAGAGTTCTGCAAACCGGCCCTACGCACCCACAATATGGCAGCGCCCGCTTATAGGCCCGGAACCCTCATCAAGAAGTTTGTGGCACAATGGCGAAGAGCTCCGAAGCCCTGAGATGAATCCCCCCGTTAGAGCATATCTAATATACACACACATGCACATCTTTGTCTTAACCCAACCAACTTGTGTTTGTAATGGGTTGTGTACGGTTCTGAAAAACATCTAGCGCCCAAAGGCTCCGGGAAGTTAGTAGGTAGGCCATTTCTCAAGCACAAGGCTAACCCTAAACCCTAAAACCCTAAACCCTGAACCCTGAACCCTAAACCATAACCCTAAACCCTACCTACATACGACGTGTCCGGGGAGCCCCTCAGCGGAGGCAGTCGGCCTTTGGCCGCGCCTCCGAGCGTCACTTGCTTGCGCGTCTTCGAGGGATCCAGGAGGCCACAAAGCACAGGGTTTAGGGCTTAGGGTTTAGGGTTTGGGGTTTGGGGTTTGGGGTTTAGGGTTTGGGGTTTAGGGTTTAGGGTTTAGGGTTTAGCAGAAAGGGTTTTGGGTTCTCGAAAAAAATTGGTGACTGTTTAGAAGAGGACCGCAGGGGCTTGGTTCGGGTATGTGAAGGGGGCCTTGGAGGCGTACAGGTATTGACGTATAGTTTCAGCAGCATCGGCTGTGCCCGGCAGGTCCCCTCAAGCCCGGATGCAACAAGTGCCCTTGGACCTCCCTGAGCCCCATAAGGGTTGAGGGGGTTTTAGGGTTTAGGGTATCTGGTGATGCCGGCCGAGTCCAGGCATGCGTGCACCCAAGAAGCCTGATGCAGCGTTGGGGCAATTAGGGTTTCGGGTACAACCTGAACCTCCTCAGTTCAAGGGGTCTACCCTGGCTCGACTGGACTATCGGCTTTGGTTGCTTGATGGCTCGACCATTGTTGGATGTCAATGGTCTTGGAAAAGGAAAGTTTCGGTTTGGGGACCTTGTTTGTATGTGTGCCTAAAGCCTCAAACTGATCCTCCTGCATAGGTGATCGCAGGCGGGCATGTGGTTTGCGGTTTTTCCCTAGAGCTTTGGGGCTCCTTGTCCCTAAAAAGCTAAAGCCTGTCTTCGCGGCGCAGCCCGTCTCACAGAGGTTTTTGGTGTAGGGAGATTCAGAATTGAAGCTCTGGGAACCAGTCTTAGCAAAAAGGATTTTGAAAGCGAACCCTGACCACAAGGGTTTATAACTTATAATGGGCTAGTAACCCAAAACCCTCAATGGGTACAGAAGGGCGCCTCGTTTGGGACATGTGCGCTTGTATGTGAATCCTGACATCGTGCTGCTGAACCCTACAACCTAAACAGCCCTTAACCCCTAACCCTAAACCCTAAAACCCTGTGTCAGGCCAAGCTCATAGAAGAGCTCGAGCGCGAAGAGTCCGCCCGACGCGAGGCCCGGGGTTAGGGTTTGGAAGGGAACCTTTAGAAGCACTGTTTACACACAGTTCCGTTAGGGTTTAGGGTTTAGGGTTGAGGGTTTTCTTGCTAGCCCCTCGATTCATTGTCCCAATGCCCCCAGATTCAACAGGCAGCATGTTTCTAGGAGTCCCTAAACCCTAAACCCTAAACCCTAAACCCTAAACCCTAAACCCTAAACCCTAAACCCTAAACCCTAAACCCTAAACCGAAACATTACACTACAGGCTGCACCACATGCACTCTGTGCCATGCCGCACAGACAGGCTCGCTGCTGCTATGACGACGCCGAAGACTCGATGATGTAGCAGGGCCGCAGCGGAGGGTTGTGGCGACACTTCAAGCAGCTGTGTGAGAGCTTGTGTGCGGTTTAGGGTTTAGTGTTTAGGGTTTAGGGTTTAGGGTTGCCATTACCGAGAGCTTGAGACCTCTTAAATGATCCTTACACAGCTTTGGCGAGCTGGCAGTCCCTTGCCTGCAATGGCAGACCATGGCAGACCCATCACCAAGCTGAGCAGTCGCCTTACTTGGAGGTTCGGGGTACAAAAAACACCCAAAAAACTCATTCTAGCTGATCACCCACTTATAAGCCCCTTAAGTGCCCTAAGCTGGTTCTAATTGGGATATGAGTACAGCTTCTATGGTTTAGGGCTTAGGGTTTAGGGATTTAGGGTTTAGGGATGGACCTCCAAGTAGCCTTCTTCACGCTTGAAAGTAGAACCGTCAAGCCGAGGTCGGGCACGGCACCTCCTGACCCGAGCCCCGTGGCCTCCGACTGTGAAGATGAGTGAAAGGGGGTTTAGGGTTTAGGGTTTAGGGTGTAGGGTTTAGGGTTTAGGGTTAGGGACCCAGGGGTCTGGAGCTGCTTGGGCATGAGGGGTTTGGGGTTTAGGGTTCGTGGAGTTTGGACATTTTGGGCACGATAGGGGCTGCAGCATAACGCTGTCATACCCAGTGCCCCGAAAGCGTATCGAACCGAAACTTGAGAACGACCCCTATAGCTTCGCAGGGCACGCCAAAGGCGTGCCACGAAGATTCGTTTCACCACCGGACATAGATGGAATGCTTGCGACAGGGCAAAGATTGGAGTGCTGCGCCTACGAGTGTCTAAAAGAAGTACAAACCAAGATCTTAGGTCCTTGGAACCACTCTGTACCCCTCCAGAGCTGACAAAACATGCCTGTCAGGGTGCCACGCCGACCAGATTGGCTCTTTGATCATACCCTCAAACGCGTCGCATCTGAATCCTTGTTGAAAGGAACCACATTCCGACGACGAGTACGACCGCAACTACTGGACGCCAACTCCCGAGGACGCTTGGCTGACATGTCTAAAAAGTGATGGGCCAGCAGCGGCGAGCATCAGGAGCATCAGCTGCGCCCCTGAAGGAGGGCCCGGCAATAGTAGAAAGCATCGCGAATGTCAGCCGGACCTGTCTAGAAGTGAGGGTTCGGGGCTCACTGCCAGAGCTTAGCAGCGGGATGTTGCTCTTTTGTTAAGGCGCGAATGTTTAGGGTATGGGGAACAGTCTGACATGAGGGCTGCCTCAGGAGCTGGCGATGATGGTGCGTATGGTGCTGCCACAATGCCTTACTTAGGGTTTAGGGTTAGGGATGTTTAGGGTTTAGAGTTTAGGGTTTGCCTGGCCTGCATACCAGGGCCATCATTTGCGTGGAAAGCCTGTGTAGTGTGATCCGCTCCGTAGCTAACATTACAGCCTGCCACGCATGCACGGCACTCAGACCCAGCTGTCCAGCGATGTGCGTCGCATGAGACGTTTCTGATGTTGAATTTTGTGCATAAAACACGTGCATAAGCTATAGCTTCATGTGTGTACATTTGTATATACAAATAGATACTACTCTGAAGTAAAAAGACATATATATATATATATGTTTTTGTATATTTATATACATATGTTTTTGTACTAATTTACATTTTCTTCATTATTCAGATTTGCATTCTTATGTTTCAAGCCGATTCTGTTGTCATATGCATATTCAAGAAGCATACATCCAAAGCAAGCCTATACCCTAAACCCTAAACCCCTACACCGACATGCCAGGGGGAGCTGCCACACATGATGGGTGACCACTTTGGCCTCGTGGCCCCACCCTGGGAGCTGTCCTTTCCGAATGCGCAGCTCTACTAGGTTTAGGGTTTAGGGCTTAGGTTTTAGGGTTTAGGGTTTAGGGCTCGTGGTACTGGAAATCTAAGTTTGTTTGATGGCCAGGGGTTCAGGAACTCAACCCAACGCACCGGTTGTGATTGGTGTCTTCATGAGGGAAGTATGACATGTATGGCCATGCGCACCTGCGAAGCGGCTCCCATGTCACCTTGAACCATTTGAAGTGGCTGATATTGTGCGTTCAAAGTTATGAACGTGAGCAGGGGGGTTGCTCCGGCTTTCCCTGCGGCAACGAACTCCTGAACATCCTGGATCGAAGACCTGGATGCTGCTTGATCCACAACATACGTCCCAGCGTACCCAAGAGGGGTCGCAGGGCTCGCTTAGTTTAGAAAGATGCTGTGCGCATGCACTGCTAGCTGCTAGCGGCGAAACAGCTGGCACATAAGTTGTTCGTCGCACTTTGTTGATGACACTGCCGCTGGCTGTTGTATCGCCACAGCCGCCTCATTGATGGCATGATCCATACCTTCGGCGCCGTGAGGCCACGTGTGCTCAAGGCCGACCAGTGCACCACAATTCTCCTAAGAAGCATGAGGCAAGGAAAGCCCAACCATGTAACCATTGTTCTATTTGCATGGGGAAACTCGCCGTGACCATCGCTAGACGTCACTAGGCTGCCGCATGGCTGGTCTCAGAAGCTGGGCCACCGGATTCTGCATGTCTTCATGACAGCATCTGGCACCCGCCTGGTCGTCGCCAGCCTGTCCTCTGCCCCTGTGAATTGCTAGTAGTATTCCCTTCTGGTCATGGTCCCTCTATATTTATACTATACCCCCAAAGCCCTATTCTACTTACTAAGGGCCCCCCAGATTACACTGCGAGCCGGGCATGATCCTCCATCGGCGGATCTCCGAGCGCAGGGGAAGATGCTTGCTTGGACTTGCCGTGTTGCCCTTCCTGCCGGCCCTGGTAGCTTAGGGATACTTGGGAAACTGTTTTTTGTTATATATATACATATGTATATATATATATATGTTTTTGGTGTATATATATGTATATGTATATGTCATTTTTGGGTACTATAATTGCTTAGAAGCAGCTAAATTAAAACTTCTTTTTTGCTAGGGTTCCAAGTTCAGTTAAGGTAAGAGACATGGCTCTCAGCTGTTCCTCCGTGGGCCTGCAGAGGTTAATGCTGCCAACAGCTGTGACAGCAGACCGTACCTACCTGTTACTCTGCACCCGTGGGCTTGAAGACCAGGCAGAAGCTCTTCTGCGCAAGGCCCTTCATCGCGATGTCCCAACTTGGCGCATACCGCCACCACACCAAGCGCCCCGTGTCAGCGAAGGACATGCAGCGGTGGGGAAGCTGATTGTTGGACTCAAGGACGGCGAAGATCTCCCACCTGAAGGCCTTCCTGGAATCATCCACACCTATGCTTTGGTCGATGCTGCCACAAATCTGTCCGATGACAAGGAAGCTGCCCTGGAGCAGCTCTGCACATGGGTCTCAGGCCTGGGGTCAAACACCTGAAGCCATCCAGGTGGACACCACAACGAACAGGTGCATGTTGTGGTGTGTGCCATAGCAAGCAAAACTCTTTCAACTAAGCATCTGCATAGTGAATAGTGCCAGAGATGGAGAGAGAGGGAGGCTTATGAGCCCTAATTGAGTGGCATATAGAGTCGATAGTAGGCCATTCATGAATGCAACTCTCGGCTAGCCAACTCTCTAAGCCAACTCTGCAGCTTTAAGTCACCTTCAAACCCAAACACATGGCAGAGGCCTGAGCTCGGAGTTTGTCCGAGCACTGCGGCTCACGCCCGCAAGCGCCGACCGTGAGCCGACCTTCCGCGCCTCGGTGGTGCGGGATGGAGACCACGGGTTCACCTCCGAGGAGGGGCAGTTGTAGGGCTTTAGGGTTTAGGGTCTAGGGTGTAGGGTTTAGGGGGTTTACGAACATAAGGGGGCCCCCAAATAGCAGGATTCCCTCATAATGAGGATCCCAAGAAGGTACCCCTAGTTTCGGAACCCCCCCCCATTTGAAGTCTATGGAGGGCTGAAAGCAAGTCGGGATGCTCAGCCTGAGTTCAACCAGGGCGTTCTAAGGAGGAGTGTAGTCAATGTTGCACTGACTGATGTCGGGAGCCGCTGTATTTTGGCGATGGACTACCTGTTCTGGATAATGTCGATAATATTGTGATTTATTTTCTACTAGATATTTCCAAGCGAGTCCTCGTTTTGAGCTTGTGGGGGTCGAGCTGTAAGCTCTTTGTTGGGTTTTGGGGCGTTAGGAAGTCGGTGGCAAAGGTGTCGCTCGCAGTTCTTATGGAGTTGTCAGGCCCAAATCCCTGGCCCTATCAGAGCCTATGAGGCTTAAGTCTAAGAAGGCGGCTGAGGTTTGATGGTTTGGAAAACAATAGGCTTGGGCTCTCCATCCTTTGCCACGTTCTCCCCCCCCCCCTCCTCCCACCTCCCCGCCCCTCCCAAAGCCATGAGGCAATGTAGCTATCCCAAACCTCCGCGAAAAAAAAACAAAAGAGCAAGTCTTATCAAACCCTGTGGACTAGCTGTGCTTTCGGGATACTGATGGGATCGATCTGCTTGCGGGATAGTCGTTCAAAGGGATCTAAGTCCCCGAAACCCGAAACCCGAGAGCTTTGCCTGCCTCGAGAGTCGAAGCCCTAAACCCTAAACCCTAAGCCCTAAACCCCAAACCCTAAACCCTAAACCCAAAACCGTACACCCTCCAACCTCAAAGCGCCCAAAAGGCCCCTAAATCCCAAGGAGGCCATGCCGGCCGTCGGCTCCGGAGTCTGCGCGACCATGCCATGGAAGGTGGGGGGGGGGGGGGGGGGGGGGGCGGGGGGAAATCCACCATAATGTTGGGGGGTTTAGGGTTTAGGGTTTAGGGTTTAGGGTTTCTTGAGACAGCCCTCGTTGCAAAAGGGTTTAGGGTTTTGGGTTTTGGGGGGGTTTTCTTGTAAGGGTGTGGAGTAGTATGTAGAGTGTATCATCCAAAGTTTAGGGTTCATTATTCTCCCGGCCTCAGGGCCACATGGTGTCCCTTATAGCGAAGGTTTAGGGTTTAGAGTTTAGGGTTTAGGGTTTAGGGTTTAGCGTTCAGGCGCCCAGCCCCACCAGTCAAGCATCAGGGCTGGCCAATAATAGGGGCCTTAATCATGTCTCAGATTATCCCCTAACCCTTTTAGGGTTTAGGGTTTAATTAGGGTTTAGGGTCTTTGTTTTATAACTATACAAAAAAGCCCAAATAGCGTAATCGGCCCCTGCCTTTTTGTCCGATGCTCCGTCGGCTTTCTCGAGATTGTTGGCGGTCTCTCTCTCTCTCGCTCTCCCAGAACAGTGTTTGATTCAAACCCTATAAGCCCTAAACCGAAACCCTTACCCCTGACCCTGCAGTGTTGGTCTGCTTGGGTGGCAAGAGACCCTAATTCTTAAGCCCAAAACCCTAAAAAGCCCTAAGCCCTCCTTTTCCCACCAGAGGCTGACATGAAGACGTACGACATCGAAGTCACGGCCATCATTCATCGCGAGGCGGTGGTTCTGGGCCTGTCATGCGCCAAGCTCGGCAAGTCGCGACGAGGCGATGTGGGAGGTTACAGGGTTTAGGGTTTAGGGTTTAGGGCTTAGGGTTTAGGGTAATATAGACCCCCGCAAATAGTAGGAATTAGTAGGATCCCCTTATAGTAAGGACCCCAACAAGTTACCCCTAATATCATCAGCCCCCATATCGACGCCTTCCAACCAAGCCGCGTGGCTGCCTGGGTGGGGAGGTGGGTGGGGGTTCGAGCCAAGATCGGGCTTTGTGGGTGGGGGGATACTTGAAGGTTCATGTGCAGTTATAAGTAGGGTTATAAGTGCCCAGAATAAGGTTAAATACCAGTTAGAAGTATAGTTACCCTACTTGTAACCCATGAACCTCCAAGTATTGTCCATTCCTTACAGAGTCGGGCCTTCCAGAAATGATACGGATACTTTGCAGGTGTGTATCTCTACTTGTCTACGGGTTATCTATCTATGTAACTTTAGAAAGACATGTAAGAAGCACATGTCTGTTCACTACATCTGGGGTCTCTGCATTGCAACAGTTGCCCATGCAACTACCCATGCGCAAATGTAGCACAGTCCACATATATATATATATATATAATATTTGTTTATATTCACACATACATACTCATTTATTCACGCATGATGTGCTAGATTTGTGTTTATTCATTTCTGCACATACCTGTAATCATCTGCATGGTGCAAATCGAAGTTTGGGTTCGCATGAACGGCCCAGCCTGCGAAAGGAGGGCGGCTGTTGAGCTCCAGGGCGGGCTATTAGGCCTTCTAATCCCCAGTATCAACCCCTTAAAGGGCCTTTGTAAGGAGTTATAGGGTAGTGCCCCCATAAAGGGCCTTTGTAAGGAGTTATAGGGTAGTAGAGCCCATCCTGGCAAGCAGGTGCGACACAGCCATCGAAGCTGCCGCGCGAGCAGCGGCCATGGCATCTGTCTGATACCCGGCACCTTCGCTTCTCCACGGCGCGGCTACTGCTGGAGACGTGGCGTAGGATACGCAAGTCACCGTGTCTTATTGACATGTGTATGTCTGTAGAGAGGGGCTTCCGAAGGGTCCCTCTAAGGGGGTTCTCTTTATTTGGGGTATAAAAAGGGAACTACCCATATATGTTCATGTATATTTGTATAGGTTTCTGTTTAATTATGATTTTTGACAGCATGCCCAACCAGAGAAGGTATAAGGCTTTCAGGGGGTTTGGGAGACAAACTTTGTGTCTCCATGACAAGCTGCCTTGTAAAACCTCACCCTAAACATCCTTGATCCCTAAGCTCACCCTATAGGGGCCCATGTACCCCAATGTTATGTACTTGGGGCCCTAAAGTTCCTAAATAGCAGGTACGTTAAGGGCCCAAGCATTCCGTAGTTAGGTACATGGATCCCGAAGCCCAGGAGCTGGCGGCAGTGACGTCAGGCGATCGGCTGCTGGACTTATGCGGCGGAAGCTCGTTTCAGGTTTAGGGTTTAGGGTTTAGGGCTTAGGGCTTAGGGCTTGCAGTCCACATACCAGGATGGGCTATTCGGCCTTCTAGTCCCTAGAATCAACCCTATACAGGGTCTTTTTAAGGGGTTTAGGGTTTAGGGTTAGGGTCCCCATAATCAACCCTATAAAGGGCCTTTTAAGGGGGTTATAGGGTGTAATAGCCCATCCTGGTATGGAGAGCATACGCTTCCCAATATCAAATATCAGGAGAGGGTCAGGAGAGGGGGTCTTCAATCCCGGCAGTACTCACGCAAACCATGAAACCCGTTAATAACCCACTATACCCCTCAGCGCTGTAGGCCCCTACTAGAAGCGGTGAACTTAATGTTGAAGCCTTGGATGGATTTGCACTTAAGCCCCGCACCCTGGAACCCTCAGCCCTGCAAACCCTAAGCCCAAGACTTAAACTGCCAGCACCCGATCCTCAAAGGCATGGGCACCATCGCGCTCGAGGCAGCTTGCTGCTTCGCGGACATCCGCGCGGTGTCTGCAGATGCGCCGCGGCTGTACTGCTTTTAATGCTAATGCTGTCCTTACTATTACTACTTAGCAATGTCGCTACTATAATGAGTTTATGATTACGACTACGCAGTACCTTTAGGTGATTCCGAACTGGAGCCATGGCCAGATTGGATGAGATGAGAGAGGTTCATAAGCTGAGAGTGTAGGCTTTTCAGATCTTCTGGCATACGCCGCGTGTTCATGTAAGGGCTCAGGGTTTTGAGGTTTACATTTTTAGGTTTCGAGCACTAGGTGCCCACTAGCAACCTTATGCAACCTTCTTCGGGATTTCCAGCGTGAAAACTCATGAGCAAACAAAAGGGTCAAATTAGGTTCTGGAAGTGTTAGAGCATCTAAAACTCTGAGAGCTGTGACTACTTTATAATGATGCTTTCCACAACAGACTTGAGATAGGGAAAGAGGGAACTCCAGAAACTTGATGTCCTGCGCGCTTCAAGGTCTTCAGCAGTTTATTCTGTAGCGGCTGCGAAGCAAAGCAAAGCACCGCGGTTTCACTCACCTTTAAACGCGTTGCAAACGCGCCCCCCCCACGCTTATCCTGCAATGCCGGCGCTTCAAGACTCCTGAGGGCGCCCGAAGATTTTGAAAACAAACGTCACCGGCAGGGAGAGGAGATGAGTGGAGGCGAGCAAGACCTGAAGTGCCATGGCTTTGATGGCACCACCTGCCAGGTGCGAGTCGACGATGCCACATCAGTGGCTGATGTATCCAGGAGCATTGCCTCCAAAGTCTGCGTGGCACCAGGAAGCTTGCTTGTGCTGCTTTCTGGCAGCAATGTCCTGGTTGGGTCCAGGGCCATATTGGGACAAGTTACCGGCAAAGACAAAGAGGTCAGCTATTGTGTTCGGCCAGTCGGAGCCGGTCAGGCCGCCAAGATTTTCTTGCAGACGCTGGATGAGGAGCCGAATCTGCGCGAAGCGGATTTGGACATGATCCGCGTCATTTCTTCCCTGAGCTTTCTCTGCAGCTTCGAGGATACTTGTAGCATGAGGGAGGTCACGCTCCCCAGCTGCCTGCAAACGTTGACCTTTGAAAATTCCTTCAACCAGAGCTTGGACGGCATGACGCTGCCCAGCAGCCTGCAGACGATGACTTTCGAAGATGCCTTCAACCAGACCTTGGACGGCGTGACCCTGCCCAGCAGCCTGCAGACATTGACCTTCGGCGATGGGTTCAACCAGAGCTTGGACGGCGTGACGCTGCCCAGCAGCCTGCTAACATTGACCTTCGGCAATGGCTTCAACCAGAGCTTGGACGGCGTGACGCTGCCCAGCAGCCTGCTAACATTGACCTTCGGCAATGGCTTCAACCAGAGCTTGGACGGCGTGACGCTGCCCACCAGCCTGCAGACATTGACCTTCGGCAGCGACTTCAACCAGAGCTTGGACGGTGTGACGCTGCCCAGCAGCCTGCAGACGTTGACCTTCGGCAGCGACTTTAACCAGAGCTTGGACGGTGTGACGCTGCCCAGCAGCCTGCAGACATTGACCTTCGGCAGCGCCTTCAACCAGAGCTTGGACGGTGTGACGCTGCCCAGCAGCCTGCTGACATTGATCTTCGGCAGCGCCTTCAACCAGAGCTTGGATGGGGTGCCGCTGCCCAGCAGCCTGCAGACATTGACCTTCGGCAGCGACTTCAACCAGAGCTTGGACGGCGTGACGCTGCCCAGCAGCCTCCAGACATTGACCTTCGGCAGCGAGCTCAACCAGAGCTTGGACAGCGTGAGGCTGCCCAGCAGCCTGAAGACATTGACCTTCGGCAGCGGCTTCAACCAGAGCTTGCACAGCGTGACGCTGCCCAGCAGCCTGCAGACATTGACCTTCGGCAGCGCCTTCAACCAGAGCTTGGACGGTGTGACGCTGCCCAGCAGCCTGCAGACATTGACCTTCGGCAGCGCCTTCAACCAGAGCTTGGATGGGGTGCCGCTGCCCAGCAGCCTGCAGACATTGACCTTCGGCAGTGACTTCAACCAGAGCTTGGACGGCGTGACGCTGCCCAGCAGCCTGCAGACGTTGACCTTCGGCAGCGACTTCAACCAGAGCTTGGACGGCGTGACGCTGCCCAGCAGCCTCCAGACATTGACCTTCGGCATTGAATTCAACCAGAGCTTGGAAGGTGTGACGCTGCCAACCAGCCTGCAGACGTTGACTTTCGAAGATGCCTTCAACCAGAGCTTGGACGGCGTGACGCTGCCCAGCAGCCTGCAGACATTGACCTTCGGCATTGAATTCAACCAGAGCTTGGAAGGTGTGACGCTGCCCACCAGCCTGCAGACGTTGACCTTCGGCAGCGACTTCAACCAGAGCTTGGACGGTGTCATGCTGCCCGAAAGCCTGCAGACATTGACCTTTGGCGATGTGTTCAACCAGAGCTTGGATGGTGTGACGCTGCCCAGCAGCCTGCTGACATTGACCTTCGGCGTTGAATTCAACCAGAGCTTAGACGGCGTGATGCTGCCCAGCAGCCTGCAGACATTGACCTTCGACGAGTCGTACTTCAACCAGAGCTTGGACGGTGTGGCGTTACCGAGCAACCTGCAAACATTGACCTTTTGCGGTTGCTCGAGGTTCAACCAGAGCTTGGATGGTGTGATGCTGCCCGGCAGCTTGCAGACGTTGAACTTGGGTGGGTTTTTCAACCAGAGCTTGGACGGCGCGACGCTGCCTAGCAGCCTGCGAACATTGACATTGGGCCCGCTCTTCGACCAGGGCTTAGATGGCGTGACGCTGCCAAGCAATCTGCTGGTTTTTGAAGGCATGGATCTTCGTGTTGCCGTCTCCTAGGATGGTGCTCCAGGCTACCGGCTGCCAGCATGAATGACATGTCGATGCACGCTGGTGCAGCCGGCAAACAGACTAGTGTTGCCATCATCTGCCCAGCTCCCATCAAAAGTAATCCGCCAAAAGAGGGCTATCATACCTAACAGACTAACGGAGCGGCTTAGGTGTTCGACATTGTTCGACTCAAGGCCCCAGTGTTGATGAGTTAGTTTTCGTAAGATTTCTACTACAAATGTCTTGTTATGGTGAAGATCATGAACCCTCAACTTCCCTCAACCCCCCGGGGCCCGCAGCAGAGGTGAGCAAGAGGGCATGCCGGCGAGCTGCCGCGAACACCGGCGTCGCCGTGGACCTGAAGCTCCTGGCGGCGGGTTCCTCCGTGGAGGTGTTGGAAAGGCGCGTCCGCATCCTGTGCTCAGTTCGGTGGCAGGGTTTGGGGTTTATAGGGTTTAGGGTTTATGCAAGCGGTCCCAAGGACCGGGTTTAGGGTTTAGGGTTTAGGGCTTACGTGGGTGGATAGACAGAGCCTGTTGCACAAGGTGGGGGCAACCCTGGAATGAGCCCTACCTATCCTCAAGCGAGTCGAGCAAGGGACCCTCAAGACGACAAAGTTTGGGCCCGAGGGGCTTTCACGTTATGTGAAAGGCTCCCTTCCTGGCGCCGAACGGGAAGGCGTTCTATTCGAAGAGGAACCACACTAGATTCCATAGTTTTGAAAGCTGTGCACAACAAACATCCTCTTGGACGGTGCTGAAATGCTTGTACAGCGGCAAGAGCCTTTCCTTAGCGGCTACAATCTACCCGGTCGCCCGAGCTTTGTCTCCTTGCTGCTGGTTGGTAGGGAATGAAAGAATGAACCACTATTGTAGTTACTATTATTATTGCTACCATTCTTTCATTCCCTACTCACCAAAAGTAAGCTTAGTAGCTGAGTGAGCACACTTTGCACTTTTCGGGATACTATAACCCCCTATAGAACAGAAAGTGTAGACTTTTCCCTAAACCCTAAACCCCAAACCCTAAACCCTAAACCCTTTTTGCTGGCTTATGAACTCAGCAACTAAGTAAGTCAGGCATGTGGCAGAGTGGGCACAATCCTCGTGCGAGTTTGACGTGGTGGTCTCAGAGCTGCCTTTCGGCGTGAGCATCTCCATTCTGGACTCGGATGTGCACCGTGGCTCCAATTCTTGTTGTTGTGTAGGGTTTAGGGTTTAGGGTTTAGGGTTTAGGGTTTAGGGTTTAGGGTCTTCTCTTTGTTGGATCAACACGAGTGGGGTCAGCACCTCATACACATCAGAAGCTGTCAGAACATCAAGGAGCCTTGGCGACCAGGGACCTGGGGCTTGAGTGTGGCAGCAGAAGAAGTAAACGCGCACCACTACACAAGGTGACCTACATACTCCCCTCCGTCTAATACTAACCCCCCCCGCAACCCCCCAATTAAGAAATACTCCCCAGACACTTAAGAAAACTCAAATGGGAGTATTTAACAAATTCTGGGATGGGGGGTTCATCATTTGAGGGGGGGAGGGGATACCTCGTGTGAACACTGCCTGGCCGCAGGCTTCTCGCTGCGCTGCAGCGTGTGGTCTGCCCAGGTGGCCGGGTGGTGCTTGTCGCCCCTTGTTCCGAAGCCCCACGCAGCTGAGCTTAAAGCCTTTAAAGATCTTCGCATTAGGTCAGCGTAGGCTAAAAAACATTTCTTGAGGTCGCAGGCGTTTTGCTGTGGACACTCCATTGAGCACTGTACGCCTTACCAACTTCAGTGCACAAAACGTAGGCTGGGGATGATTTTGGGGCTGCCCTCTTTCGGGTGTCTCCGTTCCAATTATACGGTGAGTTCCTCAAATTATGGTCCCTTTTTCGGTACCCTAAGTATTAGGGGCCGCCTCATAATAGCAACCCCAAAAAAAAATTAGTGAAGTGACCATATGGGTTTCGAACTGACAAACGGTCACTGTCAGTATCAGGCATCGAGCGCCACACCCTCGGCGATGATTGGTGCGACTACCGGCGCAGCGATGGAAATGTGGGTGGCACTTCTGTTCACATCCTGTTCTTCAGGCGCTCAGACGGGAAGGACACAAAAAGAGGCCGAGCTGTGCTTCGGGTTTGCATGGGCATTTGCATAATGTGAGAAGCTGACTCCGAACCTCTAAGATGTGTAGATTACAAACCCGGCCTACAAGGGTCCCATCCATAGCCGTAGCTCACCAATCATGTGCTACTATGAGGGTGTCCGTGCGGCAAAGCACCTCAATGACAAACCAAGAAGCGTCCATAGTCAGCACCTACTTTGCCCTATTCCTGCGACCAGACTGGTCCTGCGAATAGCATAGCTGCTGCTAGAGCTTTGTCCTCTTCAGCTTACAGAGTCCTCGCAGAGAGCTCGCAGTTACAGCATCTAGGCATTCTCACATTCTGGCATGTTTTTTTCGAGACACAGGCATCCATTCCCGTGTTGTGACGCTCATCCGGCTCGAATGTCGCAGGCTGACGGGTATGGTCGGAATGGTCTCAGATCTGCAGTGGAACCGAGCCTGTGACCAGCCTTGACAAGCCACTCCATCAGTTTAGCAGGGTCGTGGTCCTGGCCAACACGGAACAGAAACATCCGACGCTCCATCTCTCACCAGGCGTCCACAAACCCCCTGAGCCCCTAAGCCCTATAGGCCGTAAAACCCCCACCTTCTACGAGGTAGATCGAAGCAGCTCTTGAGATGGAGGCCGAAGACATCTGACTCCGAAAGCCATCCAACACACAAGATGACCCAAAAATCATCGGAGTAGTGAAAAACTTAGGGTCTTCAGCTTTCTTCAGGTTTGTTTGGGATTTATATGCCCTTCTGTGCTGATGGCTCTCGCGCCTGAGCCGGCGGCTGTGGCCTTTTGCTTGAGCGGAGAGTTTCTGGTTCCCTTGTCTTGGTAGCCCAGTGGTACCCTTTACCCTCTTTTTGTTCAAGGTTCCCTGATAAAGTAACCAACCCCAAAGAAAGTGCCCTTATGATGTTTCGGTTACCGGGGTACTAAGTCATCAAGCTGGAAAGGTTTCTTGATATTCCTAGGCTCGGCAGGGAGCGCCTAATAGGCCGCTGCAAGCTCAGAGCTTGGCATTTGGGGGTTTTGAGGCTCGGGGCAAGCCGGTGCTTGCTTGTTTCTGATCTCTGGGTCCTTCTTGGTTATAATCTTACATGCTTGTCATACTCAACTCCTCATAAAGAATAAAAATGATCATCTTAAATATGACCCCAACAAGGAAGCAGATCTGATCCAAGGAGCGGATCCTGGGGGGCTTGCACGCCGCGTCCTCAGATCGCTGGAGGCTGCGCTTATGCACCTGCGAGTGAGGGCTTCCACAACGGCCGTGTTTTCGTAATTTGAACCCTGTGCGCCTAAACTTGGGATGTTCCTCCTTATGCTAACAGTCCTTAACAAGGATTATAGTACCCCCTATAAGGGGGGAACATCCCAACCCTAAACCCCACACCTGACCGCAGTCCATTCCAATCTACCGCTTGGGATCATTTGGTATCCAGTTGGCAAGTGCAAGAAGAAATCTTTGGCAGGAATTATCATCGCACTGCTTTTGTTGCTATGTTTGTTGATTTGCTTGCTTGTTTTGTTTTAGGTTCAGGGTGGCTCTTAGCAGCTTAATTCTTGGAACAGAATTAGGTCAAGTACCCTGGACACACCTAAACCATGAGATCCCCCCCACCCCATTTGCTTCTAAGGGGTCTAAGGGGGAGTAGAACCCCTTTAAGGACCCCTTGCTACTCCCCAAATCTACCCCTTAGAGTAATTACCAATGTTCTCTTCCAGTGCTAGCACACGCTAACGGAAGCGAACTTTGCATCAACTCATTGACCTCGCCCTTTAGGGGGCCTTGGGATAGTTGCTTTTCCTCTCTTTCTCTCTCTTTCTTTGTCTCGCTCTCTCTCTCTCTCCCTCTCTCCCTCTCTCCCTCTCTCCCTTTGTGTTTAAGTTATCAACAGAAGAAATATGCAGCCAGAGTGAAGATCTTCCCCTTTAATTACATGTCGATAGACAAAGGGTGCAATCAAGCAAAACACCTTGAATTATTGCGTTCCTTTTCAGATTCCTCATGTGCCTTTCGTTGTTGAAGACAGTTCGTGAGGTAGCGACACTAGGACTTCTGTACCCCTAAAGTCGGAAACTCGAGGAAACCACAAATACTAGCCCCAGTTCCTTACTTAGTATCCACCAAGAAGCCCTCACAAACCCTGCACCCCGAACCCTGGGCCCGAAGTAAGCTTCCAGTGGCGAAATTGTCAGCAAGGAGTGGCGTGACGTGCAGAGCGTGATCCGCACCATTTTTCAGGCCGACTTGAAAAGTTGACTTGCGAACCGCCAATCGATTTGGGATTCAGGGTTCCTGGTTCAGGTCTTGAGGAATTTCCAGCAGAAGCATGTGAACTTGGGGAGGTTCACGCATGAATGTGAATTTCGGGTTCAAACGGGGTTAGGGTTAAGAGCTCCCTGCCAGGCTCTTTGCGACGTGGCGCATGCACAAAGCAATGCCGTGCGCGAGGCGTGATGCCGCTTCAGCTTGCTTTCACGAGGGCCGCATCGTACATGTCACTTATTTTAAGGGGCTGCGCCCATGGGCGGGCAGCGCACGCAGAAGCCCGGGGCGAGCAGTTTCTAAGCATGTTGAGGCCCCTAAACTCCCTGAAGATCTCTAAGCGTTAAGTTTCTAAGCATTTTCAGGCCCCTAAACTCCCTTCAAATCTCTAAGCGTTTGAGGCTCCTAGACTCCCTTAACGTTTGTCTAAGCACTTTATAAGGCCCCTAAACTCACTTTTTCCTAGCCCCGGGCTTAGACACGTCGCTTATGCCCGCCCTTTGGGGGGCATCATGCTCCTGATGCGCCCCCGGGGTCCCGCCCCGGGAGCCGCTGGTGCTCCTGATGCGCGCCTGGGGGTCCCGGGCTGGACCCGCTGATGCTCATGATGCGCGCCTCTGGGGGCTTCCGTGGCGACGCAAAAAACCACGAAAAAAAAACCGTTCACCGGCGGCACGCGGGGGTCGGCGGCACTGGCGTCCGGCCTAATTCTGCTTCGCAGAAGGCCAGAGGCCAGCAAGGCTATTCCCGGGACGACCCGGGCTAAAAGGTCCGCATTTGCTCGGTCCTTTGGGGACCTCGCGCTGCCCGATTTAAAGGCTGACGCCGCTGCCGCCGACCCCCGGGGTGGGCGCTGCGGAAGAACGGCTAGGCAGGCGGGGTAGGGGGCAGGGGTTGGGAAAGGGGTAGGGAAGGGGCAGGGGGGGTGGGTGTTTGGGTTGGGAGGGCGCAAAAGGTGGGGTGCAGGGGTGTGGGGGGGGGGGGTAGGGGGTTCGGGAGGGTCGTGGGGGGCGGGTGGGGTGCAGCCGGCTAGGTAGGCGGGTAGGGGACGGAGGTAGGGAGGGGCGGGGTGTGGGGGGGGAGGGGGGATTGTTGGGGGGGGGTACGGGGGGGCGAGCCAACACAAAACGCGTGGTTTCACCTGCTCCTGTGGTTCTTGCACCCAAGGCCCAAAGGCTCATTCCCCGTTAAGCTCAGCTGAAAGGTCCCGAAACTCCTGGAGCTTCGCCGCACGCCGCTTGCTTACCTCGCTAAAGCCCAGAGTGTGGCAAGATCAAAGATTGCACACCTCAAAGAATCACTGATGCCGAGCACGCGGGGGGGCCGGCTAGGCAGGCGGGGTAGGGGGCGGGGGGTTGGGAAGGGGGCAGAGTGGGTGGGGGGGCGCAAAAGGGGCGGGGGGGCCGGAGGGGTTGGGGGGGGGGGGGGGGGGGGGGGGGTGTGGTGGGGGGGTGGGGGGGAGGTGGGCGGGGGGGTTTGGGGTTTGGGGGGGGGGGGGATGGGGGGGGTAGACCCTTCAAAACTTTATGCGGCTGAAAGATCGTGGGTAATGGAGGGGGGGGTGTGTAGGGTGCAGCCAACACAACGCGTGGTTCCACCTGCTTGGCCGCAAAACAACAAAATTCGGTTGTTTTTGGTCCTTCTCCTGTGTAGGCAGGCGGGGTAGGGGGCGGGGGTTGGGAAAGGGG